AAACTATGCATCAAATTCATAATTTGCACCTCTCTCAGTTATCCTTAAAGTGCTGTGTGATTCATATAACTCCGTTGTTTACTTTTCTGTTTTCTTCAGTAGAATCTACCCAATCCTCCTCTAGAATGCACTCCATTTTCGATCGGTGCTACATACTACTTATATCTGTTAACATAAATAGCATACATTACATGCCTATTCTCATCATCTATCCAAATAGAAGCTAATTCATGTAGGCATATTCGTATATACCACCACAATATATAGGTGGGGTTTGTGTGGCTATTTATTGTATGTCGATGTCACTCATTCATGACATAACTATTGTCCGCATGCATATTCTATAAATATTTTATTTAAATACGACTTAATGATAGATGATAGGGCAAGTTTTGTAGCTTATGCTGTATATTTTATAGGTAATTCGATTGACAAACCTATATTGCTTCTTTGAACATTATCAATATAACATATAAGAATAGTGGAGTAATATGGTATCCTTCTAACTATTTGACTGGTTTAGCCTAATGAACTGAAATGTTACAATAATAAATGATTGAACTCTTTTTGAAATATACTAAGTATCCAAACCCACTCCTAATAGAACTAATAAGGTCGTGTTTATGAATATATTTCAAACTTAATAACAACATATAGATAAACACAGGAGAAAATTAATTGGTACTGACAATGTCCAGATTATTACAAAAATAGTGATACAAAGAATGAAGGCTTTTGTTTTGCCAATAGTCTAAATGAAAATCTAGGTTCACTAGGCAAAAGACACATTTCAAATGATAAGATGTTTAAAGGATTTTAAGTCTCATGCTAGGACTCCTGGTTTTGATTATCGGATTGTTATATTCTCGCTCATGTTGTATTGCCAATTATTATCGATCGCTAGCATTATTAACTGGTACTGTGTTTTGCGGTCATCCAAGTTCAATACTTCATTATGGGAATCAAGAGTGAATAAGAAGTTTATATTGACTGACCTCATTAAGAAATATATTCACAACTTAATCATAAATATGTATCTGTTCATCTCAGCAAACTCAGCTGAATTTTCAATCAATGTAGTATATCTGTTTCTTCAGAAAGTTATGCCAAATCTCAATCAACAGCGCACTCCCGTCAACACCTCCCACTTATTACTCGGCCTATATTTGATTAACTCTACGTATAAATTCTAAGTACATCATATGCACTGACTAAATCGTTGTCTTACGTCCCCTCTTGTTTTTCTTTCAAAATTTCCTCACTAACATTGCTATTCAAGCTCCCCCAGTATGAAAAGTACTTTCAGGTCAGACGTTAACCAGTACAAGATGAAGCGAACTAAAAAACGATCACAAAATGGCAAACTGTTTTCAAACAAAACCTCATATATATTGGGGAAGAAAATAAGCAAAAGACTTCCTTTCTTAGGTGTTCTGATTAGTAAAAATGCCAAAGAAAAATTACATATTAGTGATTAGGAATCCATACCACGCAACATATATTGTACATCAATGTACCGTTTAAAATCTTTCACTGCACCATGATGTAGTCAACCTCTGAAACTCACAGAGTTCATCACACGAAGGACATATTTATCACGTAATATTATTATAAGGAATTGAAATACTTTTTATTTTTTCTTCAACTTCTAAGAAATAAACTTTTATTGACTTGTACTTCTTTTACTGAATTTTATGTGTAATTCCCAAGCTAATACAGTAACACATCTCTTAGTTAATCATGGTTACATTTGTTTTGAGTGGTAGGTTTTGGGATACCTAATTTGTTTATCACTCCACTTATAAGAATGAAACTCTTGATTACAGATATAGTCAACATTCTTGAAGTCAACTGATTAATTTTTTTTAAGTAAAATAGCTAATTTATTGAAATGTTTGTAACTTTATAAGTCGTTTATCAGATAAACAAAATCATAGCTGAATGTTTCAATAGTTTCTAAAGTTCTTCAAATCAAACTGTACAATTATAATAGAAAATAATACATTTTAAAAAGAATATAGAAAAGATAGCAATTCATGATATCTGAAATGATGATTAATATGATGACCACAATAAACATAATGTGAACAAAAGAATTATATCGTAAACTAGATAAGTAAGATGTCATTGAAGTAGGAATCCATTTGAGTTTGTATTAAAAAGTAAACGATTGTTTTAATATCCTAATTAAAATAATTGTTCAATAGTAAGAATAAATTTAATCTAATAATATTTCTATAAATTATTTTATTTTCATTTTGATTAAAAAACCATTTGTTTTTCGAAAAATCATGGACTCTTAGGACCCCTGATAAGATCTTGTAAATATTATTCAGATAAACACAAATAACTATTCTATGTAAAAAAAAAGTAGAAACTGAGAAATTGAACTTATCTATTACGAAAAGCGAAATTAAAATAATAGCCAAAACAGAATTTCATATTTGATTCCGAAGTCAAATGGTTCTTTTTTAAAACCAAGTTGTACCTATTGTGATGTTGGAGAGTTCCAAAGAATTGCTCGGAAAAGTTTATGAGATCCCAGAAAACCCTGGAAAATACTTTATCCAGCCTTCATGGAATAGAAGCTTCTGAAAAACATCTAGAAGGTAAAGAGTCCCGTGTCATGTTTCGGACTGGATATTTACATAAAGTAACCTTGGAATTAAGCGTTCTTTTCGTACTTCGCACCTTTTCTCTTGTGTTCAAGTTGTTGTATAGATTTAGCCTGGTTTTATTAGAAGCGTCTAGAAAGTTGGATCGGCCGTTCATTTAGAAAACTTACCAGAGCTCCAATGATTTTCACGCATTGATTTCATCCTAATGTCTTTTCACCGAAGTATTTACGAAGATAACACTTCTAAGATGACTGAAACCTCACTCTATTTCTGTCTATATTTAGTTACTCTCTGGAGGACCAAGAATATATCAATCCCAAAAATAATGATAAAGTTATTACGTCTAAAAATTAATGTATTAATATTTTAAATATAATCTATACACACAAGAAAAATATACTGGATGTTACTTAAATTGTCAGGAATTGGCGTGTTCGATGTTATTTGATCTAGCATTGCACAATCATTAGTAGTTAATAATTCCAGTCGCAATTGTTATAGTTTGAGATGCATATCCAGATAAAGCATATAATTGGGATATCATTGTGATCTGTAAACGTGGATAGCAAATACATTAGAGTTCTGTTATCATAACAGCAGGTAATCGAGAACAAAAGGCATATGTGTGTAACAGTGTATTTGTGAGCAATAATCACTGCTACGGGGGATACAAAGCGAAAACGGAAAAATCCAAGGTCATGCGTCTTTAAACAACTATTTTACGGGACGGGAAAACCGTTAAGCCAGGGGTTTTCGCGCACATGTTACATATTGTCGCGGACTTTTGTGTCGTTATTATCAGCTATTATCAGCATTTTTTCCGTCACACGTCAATTTTTGTAATGTTTGTGCTTGTTACATAGCCTTTATTCCAGTTTAATAGTAGTTTGACGTATTTTTTGCTCACAACCTGAGTGAATGTTTATTCAGCCTAATGTGGTTATTTGTAACAATACAAACTCAAGCAAGTAAATTCACTATTTTTCAAGTTAAAAATGGATCACAAATAGAGTTTTAAGGAAAATAAGCTTTAAAACCTTTTACATCGGGTTCACCTCCTTGATTATGGTGATGATGAACATGGATGTTGGTAGTTGTTTATAAAATGTAGGTTGAATCAATTAAGAGTTAAACTATTTACGAATATTATATAACTTGCTAATATATAGCCATAAACAGTTATATCCATTATAAGTATCATCGTTTTGTACTGAAGTGACATATTATTATGTAACGTATCTGAGAAGAATTATGTGAGTAACAGTTGACGTCGATATTCTTTTCCATCCGCTTTCTGAACGTATACAGAAACAGTGTATATATATATATGAGAGAGAGAAAAATAGATAAACAGCATTTTCTGTGATAACGATTCGGAATATGAACCATATTAAGTGCTTTCCCAGTAAGATTAGTAACTCAGTGTATATCACCAACGTAGATGATCTATGTCGAAATGATTGGAGGCCTACTGGAGTTAGACATGAATGCTGTAACAAACTAGCTAACGTCGAAGTCACACCTCGTGGTCAGCACCTTACGTGGACTACCCCATTGACGTATCAAGGTACCATAGATGCTTTGAAGACTGTGCAACACAGAGGACGTTATTACCGAAATATATTAGTTAAAGTAGATACAAGCGAAAGTGAGACCACTGCCGCATGGGCCAGTCCATGGCATACGATTAACTAATGCGCGTTGGTTGTCCCTGATCTTGACGAGGATCGATGATTTGCTCGATATTCAATGACCCAACTGCCGGATGATTTGGCTAGGGCTTAGTGACATTTCTCTGGCCCTACATCAGTATCATTAAAGCATTGGGTTCAGCGTGTATTATACAAAGATTCAGTTTATCCACACTTACCAGTAAGGTGTATCTGTAAATGTTCGGAAACACTTACTCTCTCATATGCTTGATATCACATCAATAATTACCATGATCGACTGGGCTACCTTTGAAAGATATGGGCTTTCACTTTTTCAACTCTAAATACTATCCAAATGACTGTTCGAGAGTGGATAAATCTCCAATGAATTCTGAAATTTACTTAAAGGACATTGATATGTTTGAAATTTTAAAAAAATTAGTAGAGTATAACTTCAATTCAATAAAGTTGTGTGAATCCTCATAGAATTGTATTCTTTAGATAGGATAGATTGATTTTTTCAATAAACACCTGTATAAAGACTGGTTGCTCTAGGTTGCTAATACATACGTATACAAAGCTTTCTTAGGCTACTAAGGTCAATCGATTATTTAACCAATCATTCATCAGCATAGTACTATGACAATAGATAGTTGGTTAAGTTGTGTAAAATAAAGTCTACTTTAATCACAACATCGAATTTATATAATCCTGTTCATTTCTCAATATCATGGTTTTACAAAAAGATGAAGATTATGTGAATTTTCAACCTGGTGGAACACATATAAAAAAAACAATCGAACCAGAATGCACAGAGGAAGACCAAAAAGAAAATAAAAAGGGTGGACGATGGAATACCGTGAGTTTAATAATAATAATAATAATAATAATAATAATAATAATAATAATAATAATAATAATAATAATAATATGACCAATATTCATTCATTTTTACTAATAAATGTATATGACTCCAATCCATATGATATAAGTTTATTTTATTGAAAGAAATAATTAAAATAATCTGAATTAATTGCTTAACTCACATAAAAACGTGAGCACATTCAAACCATTTTATTAAATTATAATAAAATTTCTATTAAACATTTCACTATAGAACAATACTTAATAATTTTTGGTAAATTGTTATCATCTACTAAAAATCTATAGAATTCCACTATGAAGTGATGAAATAAAAATGAGATTTAATAAAAATTAGATTATGGCTAACAATAAAGTATTTGATACAAGTTTCTTTTGACTTGGGACCTGTCAGCTGAATTTTCTTGCACCTATATTACTGATATTCACATTGAAACCTGAACACATTAGCTATCTCTCCAAACATTATTTCGTTATCGTCGGAGCTAGTGAGTTCAAATACAAGCCTTTATAAACAAAGAATTTTTATTTTAAAATTGATTACTCTTGATGTATCATAAACAAACTATACATATTCCACTACTAATTCTTATTTTATTTCTAAGATTACAGATCAAACATCGTGTTTAGACACCTTTGACCTACAAAGCTTCACAAATCAGATATTTTGAAAGTAAACAAACTACGTATTCTGAAATTGATGTGGCATTTTTTAGGTTCTTACTCTAAGAAACAGGTAGAATCATTAAACTTTAAATTTGATTAAAACTAAAACATTGTTGAAAAATGGATATAAACAAAAATTGGTTACAGTATAGTAAATAAGTCTATCTCCGATTTGTAAAATTGATTAGCCAACGACTTTACCTTTATCAGCGAATTAAGTAATAGGACATAATGATGGATGGTGGCTAGCAGTGAAATATAGGTCGCGCGTTTCGTCCCATTTGGGACTCGTGAGCTGGAAGTACCACCATCCGGAAGTTGATGTTCACTCCAGGACTCGAACATCAGTACCGTTCGCTTCAAATGTCATCGCGTTATCCATTTATCTACTGAGTCCTGATTACCAATAGTCTGTGCAATGAATCTAAAGCACAATGATGTTCCATATTTAAGTTAATTACTAGAAAGAGATTAGTACAAAACGATTTATTCCCTTCCCAATTATCTGACGAAATGCTATATTTGCAAAATCACGAAAGCTCATACTGTCTTAAAAATTCGAACTCACAAGTTTAGAAACGATTATTCAAAGAAACTTCGATCTGGAACTACTAATGACACAATATGACAACTAATCCATTATTTCTCAGGGTTATTGATCGCCGACATACTTGAAAGACCATGCTTTATACTGCATCATCGAAACTTTGTTCCTAAATGTAACGGAAAGCTGAGTTTTCTGGAGATTATAAAATATCCATATATATGCTACCTTCAATAAATAATTTTAAACGTGATTTAAACAAATGAATCAGATTAACTTTTCGTTTACTTTCCATTGAATAGGTTCGTAAACTTGTGACCAGTGCAAGTCAACATATTAATAGTTCACAAATGTTGAGTATATTTCGCTTTAGATGGAATTAAAATCATTACTGTCGTTTTGTTTACTTTAAGGGTTATCTAGCATTTTCTCTATATTAGCTCAACGTCATAAAAATGTTATTACAGCTGGTGATATACTGCTCGTTATGAGAGCATTAGGTGATGCATTAACAGAAGCTGAACTACAAGATTTGATCTTTGAGTTAGATGTTGATCGTAAGTATTTTCCTTAAAGCTGAAAAAGCATATTACTACAAATACATACATATTATAGGAGATGGGAAATTAGATTTTTCAGAACTGTGCGCTTTTGTTGTTGAACGAATATACAAGAAGAAATTAGATCATGATTTTGAAGAATTATTTCGAATACTAGATCAAGATGGTGAGTTTCACATTGTTTTGTTTAACTGTTAAAGATATTTATTGAATTAATAGCATAAGTTAGTTTATTCAGACAGAAATATTCATCTCCCTCGCAATTATGGTGACAAAATGTATTAAGTGACCTGAGAATTAATGTAGATATCGTAACGCCAGATGAAAAATTGAATTACAACGGACAAACTTTTGAACTTTGCTGACAGTTTTCACAATGAAAGATTGCTTACAATTAAAATAAAATTAACCTACGAATAGAGCAGTAATTTTGAACATTTTTAGTTCAAAATGAATAACCGGCATACTAATATGAAGTTGATTATATACTTGGCATTGATTCAAATCTAGGAATTCTGTAACTGGTCACTTCTGTATTATACGTTAAGTCTGAAACTTCGAAATATCAAAAAAATATTTCAATGGTGTTTTCAGCCTATTAGTTAATGAGTGACTATTTACCAGGGTAGATTCTGTCAGGATAGATGAGAAAGTTATTAAGTCCTAACATTTTCCTCTAAATAATTCTTATCAGTTAATTTTATTCCAATTGGCTGAATCATTCTCTTATTTAGTCAGAAAACTGTTTTTCTAATATCATTGATCGGATTGTGGATTTGCACATGTATGAAGTGTGTAAACTAAACGAAATTGTAGACTGCATATTATATTCAACCGTTTTGCATTCCCATCAACTACCTCTATCAGTCAAATTGTCTAACATCAAATAAATGTGGGTCTTTCACACAATGCATTCTTAATTACTTAGTAGGTTGAGTTTAACTGACAACCATATTATTATATCAGCAACATCCGTTCTCACGCTGAAATAAAAATACTCATCTGCCTTTAAACGGAACATGAAATTTTTTAAAGTGATCAATATTTCTTTCAGCTTGTAATGTAGTTTCAACTTAAAGTTGTTAAAAACAGTTAGTTCCTTCGATGAATTTAGATAATACAATGAGAAGACGAGCCTTATCAGAAATATTTGGTATCCTAGTTCAATACATTTCGAATAAACTGATGACGCATTTATTTGGCTTCAAAAAGAGATAATAATAGTATGAGTCATTTCACTTTGATTAGTAAACCGATGTTACCTGGGTAGTGTAAGTACAAATTGTTTTCAGACACAGAGAGAAGTAAGCTTTCGTATATCTAAGACTTCGATTTGCTTAAGTATTCTCCATAGATAACTACAAAGGTTAAGATCAGTCTTATGGCTTTTTCAACTATGTTTGACAATGAGAGATGAGTGCTTGTTATCAGCTCACACAGGGTCATTTTAATTAATTTGACTTTGGGGCCATTTTTGTACATGTTCAGCCACCCTAACTTGCAAATCACGATTACTCCTCCTTCTAAATCTGTTTTCACATACAAATGTAAGTTATTAAACATAGTAGCGTGTGACTCAATCTCTTACATGATGTTTCTCTTGTGGTAAAAAGCATGGACAGTTTTTCAGTATTTATGACTCTGACTGTATAATATGTTATATTGTGAATCGAACCAAGCCTGCATCTCTACATAAGCTATTTGATTCACCTCTGACTGATAGAGTGATGTAGATAGATTTTTCATACGGCAGAGTAATAGTAGATATCAACTCACTGGTTCTTCCATCAATTTATGACTTTTAGTGTGTATTCACTCTCCATCATTCTTTCGTTTAGCAGCGTCACGTCGTCTTTAATAATATCAACTGTACAGATACGGTTAATCCTATTGAGTAGGCACTTAATCAAACCTTTGTATTGAACTAGATAGTAGCTATGATAGCTAAGATACTGACCTGTCCATACTGGATTTTTATAAATATCTCTTGATTTAATCATCTTTTCTACAAATCAGTACATATGAGAAGTGAAGCTGGTTGTTTAAAATAAATGAAAAGCGGTTGGCGGTGAAATCCATAACTCACATTTCGTCCTATTTGTAGAGTAAATATATCAACAACGTGATAATCCAAACCATTACAAATTAAATTAATTATGATTGTTCTTTTCTTTTCTAAATGAAAGGTTAATATTGATTTCGAAGTGTTAAGTTTATTTTAATGCATAATTTGTATCTACAGTTTTGTTTCGTACATATTGTACATACCGCTTATAAAGCTGATTATTTTCGATTAATTTTGTTAGATTTTCAATTCAAGACGTAGGTCGAGTAGTAAAAGTTCAAAAAAGGACTAACTATAACAACACCATCAATCAGTCAAAAGTATTTGCCCTGAAATATAAACTGGACTTCTTCAGTGTATAATAATAATAATAAATCTCTAAGAATTGTTGAAGAAATAGATAATACAAAATTAGTTAAAAACATTTAGTCACATAGAATAACACAAGTCTTTCACAGGTTTATTTGGAATACAGAGAATTCATATTAAAGAAAAAACACAACTTATTTTACTACAACAAGTACTAGATTGACATACAAGAAAACAGCCCTGTTTTATTCAATATTTATACGGGTGAACATACGAACATAAGATAAATATTTTGTTTATCACATGATTCATCTTATCTAAAAAAAATCTATGAAATGATAGTTTGCCAAAATGTAGTGTATATTGAAAAAGGTAAAACTTTTAAAGAAAATCTGTTATAAGGCAATTACCAATATCAAGTTCTAATCTAATACCAAGTGAATTCAAATTCACCCCATTGCACAAGCAAGTGGCTATCGGGACTCACTAGTTGAGTGGATAACGCGATGGCGTTTGAAGCGAATGGTACTGGGTTCGAGTCCCAGAGTGAACATCAACTCTGAGATGCAGGTACATCCAACTGACAAGTCCCAAATGGGACGAAACGCGCGTCCTGGATTCCACTGCTAGCCACTATCCATCATTGCTTATAAAAGCTTGTGAATTAAGGCAATATCGAGGCAATCCGCACAGTATGCACATATGCGAATAACAAACTGATCAATTGTAGTCTTAAAACTCAATGGGAAGATACAAGCAAAACAATACCAAGTGAATTCTAATCTAATTTTGACATTTGTATCTAATTTAACTAGTTAAAAATAAAGTACTCTCTCAAATAAGCATAAGTTAGAATCTGGTGAATAGATCGATTGCTTAAATCAGTTTGTCACACTTCAGATTAGTAGTAGTTTTGGTAATATTTAAATCCCAGGTTTCCTTAACATAACTGTATTCATTGTCTTCATATGATTATAGAGTTTACTAATCAGGTATATGGATAATATATACTTTAAAGTCCAGTGGAAAAAAACTGGTTATGCATCTTAAGCAAAGGCTATTTGATTTCACTTGGTGTTGTTTGCTTGTATCTTTCCATTGTTGTTTGGGTCTGAGATTGATCAGTCTCTTATTGGCATATGTGCATCCTGAGCGGATTGCTTTGATATTGCCTTAAGTCACAAGCTTTTTAAGCAAAGATGGATAGTGGCTAGCAGTGGAATCGAGGATGTGTTCGAAGCAAACGATAATGGGTTTGAGTCCCTGGGTGAACATCAACTCTGGGGTGCAGGTCCAGCTGACGAGTCTCAAATAGGACGAAACGCGCGTCCTAGACACCACTGCTAGCCATTATTCATCTTTGCCTAAAAAATTATTTCAGTTAAAAAACGAATATAAATCACAGCTTTATTCATTCACAATCAACCACTTCAAAGTTAATAGTCATTTGAGTTGATAGAATTTCTTTCCAAATTAATATCAAATCATTTCTTTTGTACTTCATATTAGGAGATTATCAACTCTTAAGAAATGCCTATCAAAAATTAACAGATTTCCTCTACACTATCCCAATGTACGGAACAATTTGTATAATATGTAGTGTTTTCGTAGGACTAAAATTATTCGACATATTATAAGTTTGCAGAATAGTTCTATCACGTCGGCTCTTCTAAATGCTCTCAGATGAACATTTCCCTTGTCAATATTTCAGTCATTTTAAGCAACTAATTTTCAACGATAACTACTAAAGTCTTTCATTTCTCTCAAAAAAATTGCTAAGGTGGATGTCATGACAACCCTGAGTGTTATAATTTTTCCAAATAGTTGTTATGATTAATTATTCTACTCTCCACTTTGAAGACTTCATTATTTAACAGCTGACTACATTTCTCATCTAGTTTATTGATTAGTTGGTGTTAACATTAATATTACGGATAAAGATAACTAACCAATCATAAGAAAGGTCATAAGCACAAGGACATGTAACTTAAAAATATGAATGACTCATTAATAGACAAGGGACATATGACAGTGGATTTGTGTGCATTGGAGACCATGCAAATTAATAAGTACTCTAAATAATACTCTAAAAATGAGAACTGATAAAAAATCCAAACATTAAATACATAATATGTTAGGTTTTGTACAATATAACGTCAACTAAAGCAGTCGTTTTCATCTATATACATGCATCACCTCTTGGGTGCTTAAATACATATGAGTATGGGTTCCTGTGATTCAGATTATGAGAACTTGGTTTTCAGTAGTTTTGAAATTCATTAATAGCTACCACTCTTACTGTGACAGATCTAGTCTGCTGACCGATCTGATAACAGATGTACGGGTCAGGTTATTTGCCGAAATATATATGGAGGATGCCAACGCAAACAATAAATTATTAGACATAACTAACAGCTTCTCTTTATAGGTTCAAAAGATTTATTAATGAGTTTTATTCAAATCAATGAATGTGACTAAATAGAACATACAATAATCTATCCAGAATACCACGGATTTTCAGAAACCCTTCTGTAAACTTATTGATGTGTATCGCTTAACCGTTATTAGCGTATCAATGAAATAAAATGGATTTGTATAAATTGTATGATACTCTTCATTCTAATTATTACTTCAGATAATTATATTAAGTCTACTGAAATATTTAATCGGAACACGTACTTTCCAATTGTTGTACTTTGACGACTGTATTGATAAATCTGTTTGACGATATAAAGTTCTGTAGAGCTTTATCGATATTGAATGTGTTTTAATCAAAATTGACTGTAGAAATTCACTCTATAGATTGCAGTTGTTTGTAATTTATCAGTTTGATATTCATCCTCCGATGTTTTTGTTTCCATTCAGTTTTGAAACTTGTATTAAGATTAAAAACCTGAATAATAATTCACGAGTAAAGTGAATCAAGTTAGGGCCATATTATTTGGATGACCAATAATCGTCAGTCAGATGTTTATTTCCCAGATGTCAATTTGTCCAAAAATGGATACAAATCTAAGTGACTGATAAGCCCGAAATAAGTGGTTTTATTTCTAGAAACCACATTGACAATATTGCATTATTCTTCAAAACGTTCCCACTGAAACTCCGTACGAAACTGTAGACAATAGTAGTGGATGTACACTCGTAAATCGCCTCAATTTCATTTGTGAAGAGCGTCGCTTATTTTTTTCTTGAAAAGGGATAAATGATGTTTAGAAACAATTATGTAAATAGATCATGTTCGGCTCACCATTGTTTGAACATTTGTCCATCCTCCAAACAAATACATGAATAATTCATATTGATTTCATAGAAAACATTTACATTTACTCTGAAAAAGTACTAAATCATGTTACCTTACTAAGTAGTTAGTTATGACTTTTATTGGCAAGCGAACACATTTTATATGCAATGGTTTCAAAGTATTGAGATGATGGTTAGGGTTTGAAGCTCAAGTAGATGGGTTTGTTGGAGGTTCGCTCTATGAGCTAGATGGTTTTGTAGTGAAAGTTTCACTATTCTTTTGAACATCATTAGCACAAACTTCAGGTAAAAATGAGGTATATTTAAGTGACGAGAACTACCATGAATTATGAATATTAATGATATCATTTACACAGAACTATTAATATATTACTTCAGTCATTGTTTTATTAAAATCAGACTTTCAGTTGAGTTTAAAAATTAACAGAAAATAGTATGAAATCTATTCATTGCTGATAAACAACTCAATATATTTCTTTACCAGGGTTTATAACTTGATAGCTTGTTAACTGGGCGTAGTTGCAAAACCAAAACACAGTAATTATCTCTTCTTAATATAAGATAAAATTGGTATATACATATCACCTACAATAGTAATATATCTGAGATCGAAGAGCTGATAGTATAACAACCAGTCATTTGAAAACCTTATGTAAATAACGGCCGAAAAGTTTTACGTTGGTTTAAATATAAATAATCTACTTTGATTACTGAGAGGTTGAATACAACAACAGCATCTGGACCAGTATCCACTTCATCCTAAATTAAAGTTGTCTAACACTTATGATACGGTCACCGTACATTTTATCGCAATAGCTATGTTGATAGTTCAAAACCAGATACAATATATGCATTAATTCAGTTTTAGTTCTCACCCATACAACAGCAATTTTCGAATCAATGCTACTGTGAACAATCTAAGTAGAAAATACTTGTAATCGATTAACTTATTATAAAACCAACCTTCTAAATATTGGACATTTCACCATGTTAGCTTAGAATAACATTTTAATCATCGGTGTAAAAGTAGAACGTAACCAATTACGTTACATCTTAAAGGTGATCAATCATATGATCTCTTTTACAATAATAAGAATAAGATCGATGTTATGATCAAAGAATGTATTGGAGAATATTGTGTTTTAATGAGAATTAAAGCAAAATATTTTGTAAATTTTTATTGATTTATACGGTTATTATTTTATTACTTAGATGAATGCATGAACCACATATCATGGTAGGTAACAATAGATTTCACGGCAAGAGTCTAACTTGTGACTTGTTTAACAAATCAGTATCCCATTTAATGAAAATCAAACTCCTCACTGATATGAGAAGTAATAAACGTCAATTACACAATTGAAAAACGATGTACTTGAAACATTTTTCCCTACGTTGGTACACACATACAACACAGTGAACAGATGATTACCGACCATTGGATAATGGATGGTAGCATTTCTAGGCCTTACATAATGGGGTTACATCAAACATTTGTGTAGAACCTTTCCGTTGTTTGTTAAAGTGTACTATGTATAATATTGAATAGTTATTTCTTCGTTATTTTAGGTGATGGAACACTGTCAAAAGATGATTTACGCAGTATTTTACGCTATTTTGAACTGGACTTCAGCGATGAAATAATTGATGATATTGTGAAAGAAATTACTGGGTTTGAAAATAACCTTATTACCTATTCAGGTAATGAAAAGACTCATTAATTTGACAGTGTTTGAAACTAGTTTGTACTGAAAATAATGTTGACAAGGCTTTGTCATTTACTGCGTCTTAGTTGCATGTACCTCTGATATCTCACAATTGAGAAATTCAAAATTAGGGTACACAGGTATGCAATATGTTCAGAAATAATTGGTCTGAAGATAGAGCTAATTACAGAACGGTAACAACTACTTTAAAGTTAAGAGTTACTGAATATCTGTTTTGTCCAATCCAGTAGTGTAGCCATTTACTCAATGTACGGGCGCAATCAAGTTTTTCTATGGCGATGACGTCACTCAAGTGTTGAGTCAAAATCTACTTACTTTATTTAGCAATTCTACAGTGAAACGCAGTCATCTGTTTATGATGCTGACTTACATGGTCTCAAAACTGTATACTTCTGTGTGAATTGGACACATCAAATCAAAAAAGCTGCTGCTTCCAATTTTTCAGTGGTTATTCACCAGATGTTGTCCTATAGTGATAAACATCTTCAATGTAAAGTATCTGTGTCATGCAACCTGGATCTACTGATTTTAATTGTCGATAGACCAAGATTATATGAATATTGAATTAAAATATAATGAATGTGTGTGTAGCACTTTCTTGTAGTTATTCAAGTGAGAACTTTTAGTAAAGTTTATTCTTATATATAACTATTTTGGAATTCGTAACTAATTTCACAAATTTTTATCTATTTTATAGATTTGTTTAAGTTTATCATAGATTCAGACAAGGAGTTTACTATTACTGAAATCTTGAACAATCCTTTATAATATATGAAGAGATAATTAAACTCCAACTTCGTCAAGAATTCTTATTTATTTGACTTAATAGATCGTACTCAAAGAATTCCATTAATAAATGATGAATTGTGTTGGATTTTTATTTCTTACAGAATCTTGTTTCCTAGTTTTAGTAACAAGTAAATTGATTTAAATGTTTGTCTCAGTAATAATATTTGTTTTAAAAAGATAAAACTAACATAAATGATGTGTTGTTGATATAGTAGATATGTTATTGGTCTCATGTAAAAAACCATAAAGGAACTAGTGACATTAGATACGATGAATTTGATTAACACTGGATGACACTTTGGAAATAAACACTATTTAAATACATGTTTAGATAGCAAATAATTTCTCCAGTAAACATGTTTTTGCATGCATTTTTGTCAAATTTTCCATGTGACAGTAATAACAAATTATGGTCTGTTAGAATGAAAGGTCAAAGTGATAAACAAACACCATATCTACATTGTTGGGATGCTGCCTAAATATATTATCCACTCATTAAAGTAGGTGGAGCGAGGTAAGAACCTGGAATCTAATAATTGAAAGACAAGTGTTTCGAGCCGTACGATCTGGCAACAGCTAACAAAACATAGAGTGAATTAACATAGGCTGGGTGCATAATCCCATTGTCTGACTACATTGTGGTCAGACGAGACTGTAGCTAAGGGCATAAGTGTATCCTAGTTGACTTCCAGTGTATTCGATCGAATTAACAATAGAATATCGAATGTTAAATAAGAGAGTAATTTTGGATACATATATTCCAGACATCTATTAAGGAAGACAGACAATGAGGGATACGGAATGGAGATGGTGAACAGACCTACTCATCAAAAAACCGCTCAATATTTATTACCACCTCTGAATTAACTATTTTTATGAATCCGGTGTCCATCTTTTTGTGTTAATGAGGACCGATGTATATATGTGCCTGGTCCTACGTTGTAGCTGATTGATTGACTGACTGACAATATTTATAAGCACTATATATATTACAGACACATAAGACTACCATACACATATGCTCGAGGCGACACATAAATGATAAAAAGACTAGAAAGATCAGAATAATTCATCTGTTCAAAAGTTATGATAAACGGTTTAGGTACATAATAAAATAAAAGCTGCTACACGTATATAGCTAGCTTTCACCATGGATTGAAATTAGCTAGGGAAATATAGAAAATAAGGAGAAACAGAATATCTAACCTATTCTAGTCTGAAACTCAGCATTTCGAGGTTCACAACCTCAAATGTGATCAAACTTACAGGTTCAAAATTGAGCATGGTATCTTTAAATTGCTAACCCGATACCGAATTCTTCACGTTTAACTATCGAATCACTTTGAGATACAGTAATTCACTAATTAATTTTCTACTCATTGGGATATTACAAACATATTATTTTTATTTAGAACATTCTATCCAATGCTCAATTTATTTGAAGTGATAAAGTCAATAATAACTATATATATGCAAGAACAGGTCAGAGGTTATTTGGTGTTAGAATCAAGAAAAAACTAAGGATCGGTGTTTCTTTGATTCTAACACCAAATAACCTCTGACCTGTTCTTGCATATATATATGGGATTAATATTGATAACCTTTCTCATTCCAATTCTTTACATTTACTTATGTCAGTTGTTCCATACTATTTCTTACCTCAATGTAAAATTCAAATATATATTTGGTTGTAAGAGGTTGATGAGAAACCACGAAATATAATGAATTCATATTATTCTGTATCTATATTTGTTCTGGCTTTATTTAAACTCATAAAGGGAACTAATTACATGAAATATTTTTGAGACTAATTTACTCATTATAAGTTTATGTACTTAGAATTACAATGGTTTTATAAAAACCAAATGGTTCCATCTAGGTGTTTTTTTGGAAGTGTAGAATTTTCACGTGAAACATAATAGTTAAGGGTTAAATGATTTAACCGATAAGCCATTGTTAATTAACTCAAGTCGATTGTAAACATTTAGTTTTTTTTTCTTTTATTAATATTATTACTTTGATAGTATTGTCTAGATAGTTTTGTTTACTTTTATAAATTAACGTAAAATATGTGAATATTGAAAATAAAGAATATCGGAATTTCATTATTCTTCAAAAAGCTTGGATCAGATTGTCAGGCGAAACGTTGGATTTATTTCAAACTCTTTCGATGAGATTTTACATATACATTCTTTCTCTTTAAGTTAATTATTCTGTTTCGATTTTTAATGTTAAATTAGAAACTTGATCTAAAAAATTCAAATGATATTTGTACTTGACATAGAAGATAATTGAAGTATTTACTAATTAGTGTATATTCATTTATGAATATAATTAAATCTTACAAAGTATTCACATTCTCAAGTTGAATAAAATCTTTTTAAAACAAATCACATTGCATAAGCAAAGATGGATAGTGGCTAGCAGTGGAATCCAGAATGCGCGTTTCGTGGCTGAGTGGATAACGCGATGGCGTGGGATTCTGGATGCGCACTGCTGAGGAGTCCCACAATAGGACGAAACGGCCGTCTAGTGCTTCCAGGTTTTCAATTGTGGTGGTCTAACATCAATCGGTTCATGATCTCAATCAAAAACTTAATAATCTCCACAACCCCTATACCAGTAATTTTTTTGTTTTGATAAGATATCTAAGCAATTACAAAGATTTATACGAATATTCGTCAAGATTAGAACGAATAGTTTGAGAGAAATTGGGCGCTGAATATAGAGAAGTCATTATATGTGAAAATTATATATGAAATAATCTCAGAGATTGAAATTTAAATAATTCCAACGTTTCGTCCAGCTAACTTGTCTGGACTTCTTCAGGGTAATAATCAAAATCATTAAATAAATATGTAGCTCTTTAGCAATAATAACTATACTGTGTTACACCAATCAAATTTGGATGTTGATTTTTGCAAAATAGGATAAAATGAGTCAGTTAACTACAATTCATGTGGGAAATTCGACTACATGGAAATAATTAACTGAATAACAAATTGTTTGTGTGTGAGTGTGTAGGTATGTATGTGTGAGATTAATTATTGATGTTCTGTGTTGATTATGTTATATATGAAGGAAAAAATAAATAAGAGTGCAAGTTCAAGGTTGATAAATACCTAATTGTATAGCTAAAAACTCATTGAAATCTGTCAAAAATAACGATACATGTGGAATAAACAGGTTGAATAAAGATAGGTTTCAAATGACTTGTCATAACGAAATTTGCCAGGTAGTCGACAGTTGAATGCCATCTTTTCGGTTCAGGCTGTTCTTGTTCGCCCATATATACAGCGCTTCTGCTGTCAATCTTTTTTTATGGGTGTTAAAACCTTTCTGAAGTATTTTGGTCACTTCAAAATTAATCTTTTGTCCTGTTTCTAATGCATGTAACGCTATCACAGACTTATTCTCAACTTTCTTCAAATCAACCGACGTGTTCTTTTATAACTTATGTTATTGTTATGTTCCGATACGAATAATGAATGGTAACTTTTGGGATCCATTTATGGACAAATACTATGCGCATATTTTTATAGTATAATTCTTAAGTAACTAAACTGTTCATATTCATGTCCATTTTATCATGAGCTTTATTTTGACCTATGAACTATTATTATACGATTTACCATTCTTGAGTTATGGCCTGTCTATTAATTACTACCTCCGTCATTCACAGCTACATTTGGCTAATTCTTGTACAAATGTTGTTTCATATTTTATGGTACGCTGTGGTTTGTCTGGTTGGTTTATAAACCCAGTATGCTTGAAATAAATGATTCATATCGCAGAGGCTGAGGTTGGTTTTCTGGAGTTAACTGGCTGAGCTAGGAGGATGCAGGACCAATCAAGACACTAGAGTGCTCGCACGGGTTTCATGCGTCACTGGCCCGGTCGATAATTCACTGCTCTCTGCTTCGCGATATCATTACGTTATACAATAAACGGGGCACACAGGTCATAAGTTATAACAGTTATTATGTGGCTTACGATGCAATATATCACCAGTCAACTAAACTGTAAATGAAGTTTTAGTTGATCAACCTCAATTAAGTTTATAAATGTAATTAAACTGTACTGTTTATGTGAGTGTTAGTCTATAGATCAAATTAGATAAAGGTTGAAATGTATAAAATCAAATTATCAAGCCACTCAGTCATATAAATTTTGATGGGAATCTTATCTAAACACATAGTACTCAAGTCATACTAAACTTAGCACCGTGCCACGTTTAACTAGTCAAACGTCGAAAGAACAGAACGAGTCCACTTGCCAGTTTCGATAACTTGAATTTAAATAGAAAGAATATCCACAGTGAAATAGACATTATGAAGCTAGACCAGTAAGTCTACTTTATTTAAATTACAAATAATTGTTAGGATTCAACTACGAACGAATATATCTGGACATGATAAGAAATATCATATGATGACGATGTTTATGAATTGTTTAAAATAAACTATAAATTAGATGAATGCATTCTTAAGCTATTTATAAATCCTCAATCATATCAGCAATTCTATTCGGAATCACAAGATGAGATCAAAAACAATGATCATGTGCATTTAAATAGGAATAAGACGAAAAAGTTTTGAACGATTATTTTATCTTAAAAAAAACACAACATTAATCTTACATTTATCAGTTTAGTGTTTATAAATAATAAGAATTTATTCCATTGATAAGATTAACTTCTATAAGAAAATTATTTAAAGTTCATTGGTAAACTCTGAATTCCAATCTCGAAAGAAAACGTTTTCCAATTGTTTTCTGATAGATACAGGTTTCGGTAAACAAAATTCACTATGATCCGTATTTTCTTGATTTAAGTCATTTGAAGTATGATTTCCTTCTTCATAAACGAAAGCGACACCACCCGTATAAAGGAAGTAATCACCGGACCAATTAGAAGTACCTAAACAGATTTATAAAAATAGTATTTTGTTTATTGTCGATTGCTACAGGTGTTTATGTGTGGTTTTATAGACAAATAAGTATCATTAAGAACTGTTAATGAACTTAATCAGCAACTGGTATTCGTAAAATGTATTTATTTAGAATTGAATTTATTAGGTGTAACCATACAAAAAAGTTTTCATCTTACTTTGCACATGACTATTTAAGTTTTATTTATTTATTTAAACACATAAATATTGGTACAGGAGGGCACCAAATATATATATGCGCCACACAAAACAATAAGAATTTGCAGAGAAGGCAAAAAAAAGTAAGGAGCGTAAAAAAACGATAACGAACAGATTAGTGTAAGGTAGTGTAATAATAATAATGGGGGAAACAGAAACGTACACTCAGAAGAGATCTTTCAGTTAAGGAAGAAGCAACCACTTTTTATGAAGAAAGTAAAAGGTTACAACAGGATTGCCACTGGCTTCTATTCTGAGCCATATCTGATAACGTCTCTACTCGAGAACGTTTAGATAGAACCGAATTTCCACCATAGACGAGCTGCTGTATGAGTCGAAAAATAAGGATAGAGAGAGTAGGAATAAAAGAGAGTGAATAAATGCTGTAGTAAATAATAACAATAGTAGTAATAATAATGTGAATCGTTTGATTAATAGTTCAAGCAAGAAAAGTATTTTCCATAATTATCAACAGTTCATCATATTTGTGTGCGGGCTGTGATACTGCTCGGATGCCCAGACCGAAGCAGGTGGTTATTTGAGGGGGCCACACCCCGAGCCTTCGACCTGAAGGTCTGATCCACAAGGCAGTGGAGCATCGTAAGGAGATGCAGTCCCATGGTAGCCGGTGACCGGAAATTGGTTCATACGCCATTTGTTCCCGCAGGATACTGAGGCCCATGTGCACCATTGATTTGGAATCCGGTTAAAGCGCCGGACATTCGCTTTTCGTCCTCTCATTTTCGTAAACGACACCCCCGCCACGAGAAGGCAATGAGTAGGACTTACCTGACAGAGGCTGTATACGCGTGGCCGTGTGAGAGTATTTCGAGAGGGAGGGCGGGCCCACCCCACTCTCGGCCATACCAGGGCATCTAGTATGTGATGATTAATTATACTAACAAGACAGTGAACTCATGATAGATGTATAAAGTTCTGAACGCATAACCCATCGTCATTATAAATTATAGTTATACAAACAAACACATCATTAATTCCAACAATAATCTCAATATGGACATGTTCAATGAAATTCAATTTCGTTTTAGTCATTAACTTATCCTCGTTCAAAGGACACCCCATGTGAGTGAGTTTAAATCACCACATATGTTTAAGCAAAATGGGAATCGATTGTCAAACTATGACGTCATTTTGTGACACCTGCTACGATAGCTCAGGTGAACTTTACGTATGGCATTCCACCAGCTTCTGTACAAATAACTACGAGACTGGCTGGTAGGAATATGGAGATTAATAGTTAATGACACATTGTAGTCACATAAAAAAATGATTATATTACGTTATTAAGTTACTTACGCTTTTTAGCCCTTGTAGAGAAGCACAGGCCGATCACCAGCATTCTCCATCCAACTTAGTCCTGTACTACCCTTCCCACCTATTTCCAGTTGCTATTCATCCTTTTCATGTCTGGCTCAAACTCCCTGCACAATGTGTTCCTTAGTCTTCTTCCTTTCCTTTTCAGGATTACAGGTTGGGGCTTGTCTCATAGTGCAATTTGATGATATCCACAATGTATTTCCTATTCACATCCAGCGTCACTTTCTAATTTCCTCGTCAGATGGAAGCTGGTTTGTTCTCTCACACAGTAGGCTGTTGCTGATGGTATCCGACCAACGGACATTGAGTATCTTGTATAGACAATCGTTTACAAATACTTGCACTACATTGGTGGCAGTTCTCCAAGTTTCAGCTCAGTTCAGTAGAACTGTATTGACGTTTTTACTGAGGATTATGACATTGATTCTGACTGACATTTGTTTTGAGTTTCATATGTTCTTCAGCTGTAGGAATGTTGCTCTTATTTTACCAATACTTACTTTTACGTCTGCATCAGATCCTAATTGTTAATTGACGATGTTGTTGATCAGGTACGTGAAAGTTTTCACCTCTTACAGAGCTTCTCCATCAAGTGTGATTGGATTAGTGTTCTTTGTGTTATATTTGAAGATCTTACTTTTTCCTTTGCTCTTCCTCCTAAATCTTTCAGAATAGAACGTGGAGCATGTTTGCAGTTGATTCTGTCTGACTTTATTGCTTCGGCTGGTATATTGTCTGATCCTGCTCCTTTATCACTCTTGATTTGTTTGATGACCATCCTGATTTGTTCTATCGTTGATGGAGTGACATCTACAGGAAAGTTTGTGTATGGTGCTCCGATATCCAAGGAAGCTGACCTATTCAAGAGTTCCTCAGAGTGTTCTATCCACCTGTTCCTTTGTTCTTGAATTTCAGTGATTAGCTTGCCTGCTTTGTTCTTGATTATTTGTTCTGGTTTACTATATTTTCCTGCCAGTTTCTTCGTTGTTTCATATTTCCTTCTCTTGCAGCTTTTCCTGCTGTTACTGATAGGTGTTCCGCGTGCTTCCCCTTATCAAATCTTACGTTCCTATTCACTCAATTGTTTGCTTCCGTACATTTAGTCTGTGTCTTGACCTTTCATGCTCTTGTTCGGCTGTTGATAATTTCTGTCTCCTTTTTTTTAATCCTACCCAGTTAATCAGCAGTGATCCATTCCTTATGATAATGCTTGTTGCGGCCCAAAACCTCCTGACACGTTGAAGTTAATACTTCTTTGATACCTTTCCATTTGTCCTCTATAGTAGTTTCTTCTTCCTTCAGTAGATCCTGTAAGGCTTGGAACTTGTTGTTGAGAGTTATCTTGAATTCGTTGAGTTTGTTAGTATCTCGAAGGAAGGCTGTATTGAACCTTTGTAGTGCTGTTTGTCCAGTTGTCCAGTTCTTGTTTAGCTTCAGTTTTAAATTGGCCACCACCAGTTGGTGATCTGAAGCTATTTCAACTCCTCTCTTAGTTCTGACGTTTTCCATTGACTCGGAGGTTTTAGCGATGTATATATGATCGATGTGATTCTCTGTAGTGTGATTCGGTGAGACCCATGTCTCTTTGTGTGGAAATATTGTGCCACCTATGACCAATTTGTTGAATGCACACAAGTTTTCAAATCTGCCACCATTTTCATTCCTTTCTCCTAGTCCATGTCGTCCCATGATATTTTCATCCCCCATGTCATCCATTACGACTATGGAGTTCAGGTCTCCTATCGGGATTGTCATGTCCTTTTCTGATCACTTCTCTATGATCGATTGCAGTATCACGTAGAACTGATCTTTATCGTCGTCATCGCTATCACTGATGGGTGCATAAAAGTGGATAACTTTCATTGTGATTCCCTTCTTCTTTGTTTTAAAGGATGCTTTGATGATTCTGAATCGATGAGATTCCCATCCAATAAGTGCTTTTCGCGCTTGTTTGGACAGCATCAGAGCAACTCCCTGAGCGTGCTGAGCCAATTATTTGTTTTGTTATTTCCATTTGAATAAGAATGTGTTTTAATAATCGTGTTATCACTCTTATAGATTCATGTTCGAACATGCTTGTAGACAACGGTAACTTTTTGCTAATACGTTATTCGTCTAGTGATATTTAGCACATAATTCAATCGCACTTAAACCAATCACTATTGTTTTGATATTTATATTCATACACTTAAAATTTATCTTTAGGGTTAAAGAACAGAAGTCATGATTTGATAACGATAAAATCAGTTATTTGAGTTTTGCTTTTACTGTTATTTTATGAATTCAAACAACGTGATTTATTATTATATCTAAAAGTTCACCTCATGTGAGTGAACTGTATACCAAATCATAGTTGTGTACAAACAAGCCAAAAGTGGCTATGAAAACGGGCCATCTGTTAATAACTGATCAGCAGTAAATTAAGAATGATAAGACAATAATAGCTAATGAGTCAAACGGAAGCTTACAATAAACAGTATATAGAAACATAGTTATTCTAATACTTAGTAATGATGGAAAACAAATCAAAGCAGTACTATGATGTAAATCAGTCCCCTACGATTACACTTTTTTCGATATTCCCATCGTCACAACAAAAATAATCCATTACATTATTACTTATTTATTTTAACACAAAGATATTGGTACAAGGAGGCACCAAATACATATGCACCACACAAATCTCATTTGATACGTGTGAGGGCTGTGATACTGCCCGGTGGCCCAGACCGCGTGGTCTAACCCATTACAAGGGAAGTATTGTCTCACATTGTGGATATAGCGAATATAATCGACAAAAGTTCAGCATACACAATCGTATATAGATTAGTAGTTTCCGTGTCTTTGTTTATAAAACATTGTAAAGATAGTAGCAGTTCTAATTTTACTGCCATATTTATGAGTACAAAACTATTTGTCCAGTTATTTTCCCACCCACGGCCTTCAACTACTGCTGGATCACTATAAAAACCAGTTTATATTCAAATCACATTTATAACTGTAAATACTATACTCATGTATAGTTTTAAGTAATTAATCTCGATTTTAATTTATATCATTGGTATAACGGATTTTTGAAATATTTTTTCTCTCTCACTCGTATAATGCAGTAATAACTTAATAAGACTAATCACGGCATACCAGAACCATGATTCACGACCCACTAGATAATATTTAATTCAATACAATTGCCAGTAGTCACATTCAGTGAGTCAAGAGGAGAAATCAATGACAGGAAGGGAAAACACATATTTAATAGTCTGTAGGCTGTGGCTTTTGTCCACGCTCAACGATCAATCATATCCTACAAGTGTTTAACGTGCTTCTGTGGATAGCATCAGAGAAACTCCGAGTGTGGGGAGCAATTACCTCTTCGTGACCAGAATATATCAGCATCTCTCTTGAATCTATCCTTTTCTGTCCAGTTTAGGTCCAATGGGTTTCACTAATTTCGAGAACCACCAAGTTGTATCCCTCATTTCCGCAGCTATTTGATTGGGCCTATCGAGCTCCCACATTGTCTGAACATTCCATGTACCTATACTAATTGTTGCTCTGGATGATGTAGAAGGGGAATCGGCCTCATGGATTCCGAAGAATTTCAGCCTTCACCATGAGTCCTCATAATTCTTCTGAAAAAATATCCTTGAACTTGGAGGGCTGGTTAGTGATTCTCTAGTAAGGTTGTTTTCTACGGATGGGGTAGCTGACCCGATGCCCAACTCTCCTCCATTACCCGGGGTTAGGACCGGCAGTAACCCTAGAAGAACTACAGGCAGGTTTTTTTATTTATAACTCAGCTTCTTAAGTAGAATCTAAATATTTGTGTCTCAACATTGAAGGTAATCGTGACAAAGTTGAATTTACCCATTTACTAAATAACTGCACACATCAGTCAAGTATATCTTTTATGTGAAAAAAAGTATGCTTTCTCAGAGAAACGAACCAGAATCAATTGATACTGTGATCGGAACTATTGTAATGGTGACCGGCGGTTTTGGTTATTCTTTGGGAGCTGAACTGATAAGCTCATTTAGTACTTTCATGTACTTACGATATATATATAGGATAGGAATTTACTGTTAATATATCAACACATTCTTATGCAAACTTGATCGATTTGACCCACTAACTATTATTATTTTTTCATTCTGTAAAATACTTACCTATGTAAGCTGTTTTATCGGTTACCATATATTTATTATGATTCACACGAGCATATGGTATTCTTTTTTGTGTGTCAGTATACGAAGGTACAACAAAGTAACGCTGTTAAAAAAGTGCAAAAAATACAACAAATAAGACAACAACCTAATTCAAAAATAATCTAGTAAATACTATAATGTCAGTTTTTATTACGGATTAAAATCAAGTAAAGTACTTATGAAAATCAGGAATAACTGGACATCTGGTTCAGGCTAGTTTAGGAAACCTAATCAGTCAGTATTCACAGTTTCACAATGGATTGAATCTACACAACATCGGTCACGTAGAGAACACCAAACAATGAGAATGTAGATTTATAAAACAAACCATTTCATTTTGATTTGATGCCATTCAGAACCACGTCCAATCAACAAGTAACAAGTTCAAATGTTAAGCGACTTCTCCAGAAATGAAGAGTCAGTAGCTTTATGATTTCACTCAATTCATAATATGGTAAATACAGTATCTGTAAATATTAGAGAGTATATGGACTAATTGCAGGAAGGGGCTACTCTACACGTATCTAGCCAAAAATTAACCCATAATACTACAAACAGTTAACTCCGCCTGTAGCTCTACCAGAGCTACTGCCGGTCCCAAGCCCGGGTAAAGGAGGAGGGTTGGGCTTGGGGTTAGCGTCCCCATCCCATAGAAAGCTAACTCGCTAAAAAACGCTTACCAGAAAAAAATAATTCAAACCATTTAAACTCCGCCCTGAGAGTTAGAAGGTCTTCATTTAGAAGAATTATGACGCTTCATGGTGAAAGCCGAGTTTCTTCGGAAGCCACGAAGCCGATGCCCCTCCTGACAACCAGAGCGAAAATTTTTATAGGTACATGGAACGTCCGAACAATGTGGGAGACCGCGAAGATCAGTCAAATAGCAACGGAAACGAGGAGATACAACTTAGCAGTACTGGGAATCAGCGAAACCCATTGGACCCAAGCTGGACAACAAAGGCTAAATACGGGAGAGATGCTACTATACTCCGGTCACGAAGGGAAAAATGCTCAACACACTCAGGGAAGTGTTCTAATGCTGTCCAAAGTAGAACGAAATGCACTTGTAGGATAGGAATCTCACCGATCCAGAATCATCAAAGCATCATTCAAAACAAAGAAGGAGGGGATCACAATGAATATCATCCAATGTTATGCACCCACCAACGACAGCAACGACGACATCAAAGATCAATTCTACGAGCGCCTGCAGTCAATCATAGAGAAGTGCCCAAGAAAGGACCTCATCATTCTGATGGGAGATATAAACGCCAAAGTTGGAATAGACAACACTGGATATGAAGATATCATGGGACGACATTGACTGGTTGAGAGAAACGAAAATGGAGAAAGATTTGCAAATCTGTGTGCATTCAACAAATTGGTCATAGGTGGCACAATATTTCCACACAAACGTATACACAAAGCTATATGGATCTCACCGGACCACATCACAGAGAACCAGATAGAACATATTTGCATCAATAAAAAATTCCGAAGGACAATGGAAGATGTGAAAACGAGGAGAGGAGCTGATATAGCTTCAGACCACCATCTAGTTGTGGCCAATTTAAAACTGAAGCTAAACAAGAACTGGACAACTGGACAAACAGCACTACAAAGGTTCAATACAGCCTTCCTTCGAGATACTAACAAACTCAACGAATTCAAGATAACTCTCAACAACAAGTTCCAAGCCTTACAGGATCTACTGAAGGAAGAAGAAACTACTATAGAGGACAAATGGAAAGGTATCAAAGAAACATTGACTTCAACGTGTCAAGAGTTTCTGGGTCTAAAGAAGCACCATCATAAAGAATGGATCTCTATAGGAACACTGGGCAAGATCAAAGAAAGGAAGAACAAGAAGACAGCAATTAACAACAGCCGAACACGAGCAGAGAAAGTCCAAGCACAAGCTGAATACATAGAAGCAAACAAGTAAGTGAAGAGGAGCATTAGAGGCGACAGGAAGAAATACGTGGAAAAATTAGCAACGACGGTAGAAAAAGCGGAAAGAGAAGGAAATATGAAACAGCTTTACGATACAACGAAGAAACTAGCAGGGAAATACAATAAACCAGAGAGACCGGTCAAGGACAAGGAAGGCAGGTCAATCACTGAAATTCAACAACAGATGAATAGATGGGTAGAATACTTCGAGGAACTCCTGAATAGGCCGGCTTCAATGAATCCACCGGACATCGAAGCAGCGCACATAGATCTTCTTATGTATGTCACTTCATTAACGACAGAACAAATCAGGATGGTCATCAAATAAATCAAGAGCGGGAAATCAGCAGGACCCGACAATATGCCAGCTGAAGCACTAAAGTCGGACAGAGAATCAACTGCAAACATGCACCACGTTCTATTCAGAAAGATCTGTGAGGAAGAACAAGTGTCGAAAGACTGCGAAGAAGGATACATCATCAAGATACCAAAGAAAGATCTCGGCAAATATGAGAACTACGTAGACAGCACACTACTATCAATACCAGGAAAAGTTTTCAACAGTGTTGCTGACCCAGAAAGATTCGGTAGACGCTCAGCTTCGAAACCAACAAGCTGGATTCCATATGCATCGGTTGTGCACAGACCAAATCGCGACACTATGGATCATCATCGAACAACCAATTGAGTGGATTTCGTCACTATATACCATCTTTTGTGACCATAAGTAAGCAATTGACAGCGTGGATAGGAGAATGTTATGGAAACTTCTTCGGCATTACGGAGTTCCTGATAATATCGTCAACATCATATGGAACTCATACAACGGACTACAGTGCAAAATTTTGCATGGAGGACAGCTGACAGACGCATTTCAAGTAAGAACCGGAGTCAGACAAGGCTGTCTACTCTCACCCTTCCTCTTTCTTCTGGTGGTCAACTGGATTATGAAAACCGCGACATCTGAGGGAAAACAAGGCATACAATGGACAACTCAGAATCAATTAGACGACTTGGACTTCGCAGATGACCTAGCCCTCCTATCGCACACACATGAACAAATGCAGATAAAGACAGCCAGTGTAGCAGCAGTCTCTGCATCAGTAGGCCTCAGCATACACAAAGGGAAAACCAAGGTCCTCAAATTCAAAACGGAGAACAGCAATCCAATCACTCTTGATGGTGAAACTCTGGGGGATGTAGAATCCTTCACGTACCTGGGAGGCATCATCGATAAACAAAGGGGATCGGATGCAGACGTAAGGGCGAGGATCGGCAAAGCAACAACAGCATTCCTACAATTGAAGAACATATGGAACTCAAAACAACTTTCAACCAATATCAAAGTCAGAATCTTCAATGCGAACGTCAAGGCGTTTCTACTGTATGGAGCTGAAACTTGGAGAACTACAACAACCATCATCAAAGAGGTACAAGTATTTATAAACAATTGTTTATTCAAGATACTCGATGTCCGTTGGCCGGATACAATCAGCAACAGCCTTTTGTGGGAGAGAACAAACCAGCTTCCAGCTGATGAGGAAATTAGGAAAAGACGATGGAAATGGACAGGACATACGTTACGCAAATCGTCAAACTGCATCATGAGGCAAGCCCTAACTTGGAATCCTGAAGGAAGGCGGAAAAGAGGAAGACAAAAGAACACATTACGTCGGGAAATAAAAGCAGATATGGAAAGGATGAGTAACAACTGAAAGGAGCTGGAAAGGATTGCCCAGGACAGGGTTGGATGGCGAATGCTGGTGAGCGGCCCATGTTTCTTCATGAAGAGTAACAGGCGTAAGTAAGTAAGTAACTACAGAAAGTTATAGTTAAACACACTAATGACTCTATCTATTTAAAAGTAGTAGCCTGTAGATGTCAGGACTAAGAAATATCAAACACATATTTAATAAATGAGTCAACTTCACCCAAATTGTATATCTTTGCACTAATATTTAACGTTCATAAACACACATTTTTTGTGTACATGCCGACTGAATGCGATAAGTGACTATGTTATTGGTCTAGTATAATAATATTACATCTTTTCTCATTGTTCATATGACTTTAGCCCTGTCCATTAACACGTTACAAAATTGTCAATCAGAATGCCGACTTATAAGACCTTGTTCTTGTGCTAAACGCCAACCAACATTAGCAGCTTTGCGTCAGCTCTGAATCCTTAGTGGTCCTTCTCGCCTAGCCCTGTCCGTTGAGTCCACAATGCAATGTTAGCCTTCACTGTATGAATAGTATGTTTCAGACACATGTGGTTTATTTACAAGCAGACCAGATCGTATAACACCACAAAATAAGAGCACAATAATTATACAAGATCAAGACAAAAGTGGCTGTGAGGGTGAGAGACTGTAATTAATAGATTGGGGTTAACTTGAGAATAGTAAATCGTATAATAATAACCAATAGGTCAATTGAAGGCTCATAATAAAAGCTATATATATATATATATATATATATATATATATATATATATATATATATATATATATATATATACCAGAAGTTACCCATAATTTAATCTTTTTCGGATAGAACACCTGAGTTATGATGTATTCGATTATTTTAGAACTGCAGATGTGGACATGATTTCTATCAAACACTGTAAACAAGTATACGGTTTTCTAGTTTAATCTGTCAAGGTATTTAAAGCTATTGGTTCAAACGCCATCCTCAAAGTTTTACAGTTTCAGTAGTCTTCCACTTTTGTCAAGAGTATTTAGCGTCGTCTCAGAGCATCATATTCTGTGATCAGTGCTTTCTAATCTAAGCAAAAAATGATACATAATGAATGTGATTTTTTATTACAGTTGAAAACACAATTTCAATAATGGTTAGTGGGGAAAATGAAAATACAAATCAATTCTCATTGACTTACAACACGAACTTGAGCCGATCGAACTCCACTGATTGCTCGTATGGAATTCAAAAAGTTCTCAGTAACCGACGAAGTATGTTTCCATTTGCTGATTAGTAAGCGTACTTCAACAGAACGGTCAATTGCAGCCTTACGCAACGCATTATCAATAACTGGCCAAAATCTATGATGTAAGTAAAAGTATATATATATATGCATTTTTCAGTGAGCCAAAATAATTATTGAGATGATATTTTGTTACAATAGACTTCGCTAAAAGTGCTGACGTTTGAATGTAACACAGAGACAAATTAGTACAAGATGGTCTAAACCGTATAGTACTATCAACTTATAAAAATAGAACTAACTTTAATCTCCAGTTATATTCATATAAGAATCACAAGATTAAAAATGGGAACCATATAGACAAAAATTAAGTGTCTGCTCTCAAACAGTTAGCTATACGGTAGGAAGTACAAGCTTATGCAACTTATTAAAAATTTAACTCAGTGTAACCAAGTAAAATATCAATGGAAATGTATTCTAAATCTGTAGAAAGATAATAAGAACATGAGAGTTCATGACCAGTTCAATTACACACTGAGAAATGTTAATAGATACAGATCGTGTTTATTGAATTCTGTCGACCACGTTGTCATGTAGCCACTAGTCTAAGGGACTCGAAATCGAGTGCACCATATTTTGATATTATCGGTTGGAGGCAACTAGCAAGAAGTCCATAAGACTGGTTTTGTACTAGTTAACAGTTGGCTTTATGACGTGACTGGGATCTTATAGGTACTTATGTTCCTTGCCGGATTCAAACATAAGTCAACTTAAACTAGTGGTCACAGCGCAACTTGGTAGACAGGATTTGACCAGGATCAAGGAGTAGATAAGCATGTGATTGGCTATTTAGGGACCAGCCAATAAAATTACCTAAGTTCTACATGAGGACGTCTCTGATGAATACTTTATGACGCCATTTCGAAACAAAATGAAAACATTAGTTATCCCAGGATTGCAGGTAGGTGTCTTTTTGATGAACGTGAACTAGTGGCTGTATCACCTTTGAAATTGACGTCCATATAGAGAGTATTAAGAACCTAATACATGAATTTGACGATTTGCAGATTCATTTTACGGAGATTGGATAGAATCTAAAACTTATGAAAGTTCTTAGAAGTTAACTATGGATATACTGATACTTACTTCATCAGGTTTGATATGGGAACATATATGGAAGATTTTCTGAAACATCAAGATATTTCTATGACAGGAAACTAGATACAAACAGTTTTCTATTACTATACACCATGTTCTGAAGACTGAATCCAACAAGCCCTAATTCTAAACTACAATAATTGAAAAAAGGTGATATAGATACAGACATCCTGAAGAGGAGAATCTTCGACTCTCAATAGAATGTTCTTCTCAGCAACCTTGTGATAAGTGCTTGCCAGCCGATCGATGTTTAATAAAAATATACAAAATAAACTCTCTCATTTGACCAATTCCATGTACTTTTATCAATTTAACTATTCATGTGGGGCCAGGTAAATAGTTCGTTCGGTGTGTATTTCATTCAAAATCATCTACAAGGTAAGTAGAAGGCTGTTAAAGGCAGTGAACTTCCGTTTTCTTAGCATTACCGAAGCATTTGCTATACATCTGGGGAAACCAGAATTATGTATGAAAAAAGAACTTGTACAAACTCCTCTTGCCACAGTCTTAATCTCTCGTGATTGTTTTCTCCTATTACAGATATCTACTTCTATCCTATTTTCTTTATGGACTTTTTACTCCCACCTGATTTGGTTCTGTTTCTATGATCCTCCTGATTACAGTTCACCTCCCACTCAACATTTTGTCTTATCACGTTGAGCCTTCCCATTCCAATTATAATTTCTTTATCTACATGATGAATATTTAAGCTCTAAACAACATTATTATAAATTTCTTTAATAAAAATGTCTTCATTCCTTTGTTTATACTACCTCACTGTTACCATGTTTAGAAATTTTTTTATTATTACAGTTATTACCATTATGATCATTTTGGAAAAATGAGTATATATTTTCGATTGCATAGGTGTGCAAATGAATTCGCCAAAAACAGAACTCTTCGCTAAACCAATCTTGCTTAATATTTCAATCGGCATATTTTTTATCAAACACGGAAACCATCAGTTCTTGATTGACTGTACAAGATTTTCAGTTTTGTGGATAGTTTTGTTGTCAGTTTAGTGTTCTGGGCATGAATATCGTTTTGTCGCTCGGTAATTTTATGAATTTCAACATCTTTTCTATTTCTCATCAAATAAAAATTATATATTAAGACACACAAATGAATATCTAACAATATATATGAAGAAATATAATCTTGATGATGTTGAGACTATAATGTATGGACGACCTTTGAGCGATATTAAAGGGACCTTGAGAGTACATATCAACGATCAAAGGAGGGTTCTAAATTAGTATAAAGAATTAGGATTAGGATTTAGAGTTAGAACTTACAATTAGGAATTAAGATAAGGGTTTTCATCATGGACTGACATCAACTATAATGTCAAAGTGTTATTTAATGATTTGGGTGAATTAATTTGCAGTTTTGCTCTATGCTTGTGAGACCTGGCCTCTACTAGTTGAGGGTGTTAGACGACTCAATATGTCTGATTATTATTGTCTCCGAAGGATTGTTGATGTCCAATGGCAACACCATGTTAGTAATGCCAAGGTTCGGCATCGTATGTTCAGGCATAGTGACGATAATTCAATTGGTATCGCCATCTTGAAACACTGATTTTGGTGGCATGGACATATTTTGTGAATGTCGTCACAGAGAATTCCATGTGCATTATTTGCCGACTTGGGAATGGTTGGGAAAAGAGGAGAGGTGGTTATTGCACGACATGGTGTCGTGGTATGAAAGAAAGCTGTACAGGATTTGGGTCTGTCGGTCCTTTACGACTCTCTTTTTGGAGTCCTAGAGATGGTACAACACAGTGGCTTGAGACGTTATCAGATATGGCTCAGAATAGAGGTCAGTTGCGATCCTGCCGTAACTTTCTTTTACTTTCTTCCCAAAAGTGAACGTAACTTCTTTACCTAAAAGAACCCTTTCTGGTTGTATTTTTGCTACCTGAACTGTTTCTCCCATTGTTGTTATTATTATTGTCTTCATCATTTTACTCTCATATACTAATTTCTGTTCGTTTCTGCTCTTCTTTTTATTATACGCGCTTTACATTATCTCTTCACGACCTCATTGTTATTGTGTGGCTCAAATGTATTCGGTGCCCCTTGTACCAATTTTTATGTGTTTAAATAAATAAATAATCCAAAAACTCAGTCAAACTGTTTAGTTGTTCAATCAAAATTTATTGGGACATACACTGAATGAACTTACTGTGAATGTATATTGTTATCATAATTTATGACTTCAGGCAGGAAATTCATAACAGATATATAAATAAATTTTTCCGCAGCATTTATAACGGAGAGTAGAGCATCTAAGTCATCATTTCGTCCAGGTGGGTTGAACGAAGAAGGAGAACTCTGATTTTTTAATGCAAAGGAAATTTATTAAATATTAACTAAATTCTATAGAGTTTACCACAGTAACTGAAGATATTATATGAGATCAAATTTATTATATTCTTTTTTAAATATAAAACATTGATTTTGACTTTAACGTGTTCCGTAAAGAGAATTCATTACAAGATTTATAATCCATGGTTAAATCTACTTTGAATCACTATAATGAAACTATAATATTTAATGTCATTGATAAAAGAATAGGTAAGTATGTGTGACCCTTAATCTTATTCCAGTAATATCGTATGATTGATTGTTATTGACTTAACTCGTATTAGTGAACAACGGAATTAAATAAGTCAAATACGAGAATGAATTTTTAAATACATATGTTTTGTACACTCATTGATTTGAATAGACAATCAGAAGAACGAAGCGAAATGATGCGCGGTGAAGAAGGCGTGTGAGCCAACTCGATTCAATCAAACGTTAATCGATATATATATATATATATATATATATATATATATATATATATATAGCTGAACAAAAATAAGTTGCAGACATTTGATGAATAGGATAAGAAGTGTACACACATAAGCTCATATAAAATCAGTCAAGATTAATTAATAAATAATTAACAAGGTCAAAACGTAACTCAAGAAAAATGACTATATCACCCTGTTCGAAAGTTACAATAAGTTATGTGGGCATAGCATAGTAATCGACACTACATGTATATTCCTTAATCCCAGTAAAATCTATCGAGTATTGTCGTAATTTAAATATATTTACAATCCATAGATTAAGCTAGATAGTTCTGGTACATGATCTAATACTCCGAGAGCAATGATTAGCTAACAAAACAACCTATTTAATATAATTTGTAAACCATCATTTAGGCTTTTTTTATTGATGATAAATGTTTGCCTTGGAATTTATTCATTTTTTTTTACAGTATGAAATATATGACTTGGCGATTTCTTTTTAATAAAAAACAACTTTGTGTATATTCGTTAACCTTTGTTTACTAGTTTAATAAAAAATTAATCAATTTTTACAGAGTCCTTATAGTGTTTTCGTATTGAACAATGAACTTTGAGTCGAATTTAATACAAACTGAATATAATACGGTATTATTTTAATTTCAACCAAAACGGTTTACATAAACAAATACTTGTTAATTATTAAATTTTAAAAAAACATTTCATAAGAAAAATCTGATATTATTATTATTATCAAGAATACACCTTATATTTGTATAAGAAGGTTTAAAAGTGTTGGTTTATTAAATAGTTATCCTTGACAATTCAATAGATGCCGGCCTAATAATGATGACAATTTAGTATATCAACTTGACTGTATCATTCCAGTTTTGTTAGACATAACTTAAATTTTTATGAAATATTTTGGAAAGTATTAATAGAAAATGTGGTAACGATTCAATTTTATTCATGTATTAATGCACAAACAAAGTCAAATAATGATACCTTTAAATGATCTCAGTTACGAGTTAATTTATTTACTCGTACATCAATATCTTCATTTAAGTAAGCCTTCTACAACTAGCTGCTTACTGCAATGTGAAAAAAAACTAATCAGAAAATTCATTCACTTTAACGACTACTTACTGGAAAGTATACACGTGATAAGATACCATTAATGTTCGTAATAAGTGGGTTACTTCTGTTATAGTTTGTTTCCAATTCTTTAGGCCATTTTTGAGGAACAGAACTATTTGGATTACCAAGTGACCAATAAACTTTCCATACTTTTTCCAAGTCGTTCATTATTTCTGGACAGTTATATATAAGAACGCCTAACTCTTTAACCTTTGAAAAAAAAAAAAAAACAATTGACAACAAGCAGAAGATTTATTTAAAAAATGGTCAACACGAGCCAATCATTTCGTTCGACATCAAAAACATAGAACTAACAGAAACCTACGAATACACCCTAAACAATTTCTATATAAGGCTTTAAAATCTGTTTTCATTATCCGTTCTACGACCTGTTTTAATTGTGTTTTACTATTGAGGAATATGGTTTTCAATATGTTACATTTACTGGACCATTTGACACTGATTCCGAAGCCACTTAGGTACATGATACACTACTCTTGATTAGATTATTTGATCACTTGTTTCTGTGTCTGTTTTCAAACACATGTGAACTGATGAATCCAGTGGGATGTGATGCATCGTTTATGTGAAATTATGCGCTTCGTCTTTTTAATGACGATAACTTTAACAGCACAATGTTCTCTATAGTTTGTTTAGTCTGTTCCAAAATTATTCAGTTTGATACACCTCTATGTGGTGGTGATGTGAACCATTCCATTAAAAAACAGAATTAAGCTAAGGCTTCGACATTAACCAACTTTCACACAGTTCTATAAACTTCAGTAGATATCTGTTTAATATCAATATTTTGGTCAGCTCGTTGTTAGTGACGCAAACAAAAATTAAAGAACAATATACTAACTTGTGTTAGTGATCTCCAGTCCATATTTGCGCTACCCACATAACCATTTTTGGCATCAACTGACCATAACTTTGTATGTAAAACCCCTTGTCCAACAAGTCGATGAAAATCAAGCCATCTAATTTGAGCGCCTGATAGGAATTAAAGCAATATAAATGAGAATAACAGTTCTCACTTCTCTAAAAACTTATTGAAAATAAACCAAAGCTCAAAAATCGATCATTACAAATACATCCTTTTCAGTGGAAAAATCTAAGACGTATGATTGACCAGCTTATTAATGTTCCTTAACTGATAATGATAATTATTATCATCATTTTTAGTAGATCTCGATACACTTGACAACATTACCACAAATATTTATAGTAGCTTTCTTACTTTAACTAGCTATTCGCAAACATCTAAAATATTGAAACCTACTAATCGATAAGGATATCACTTGAGTGATTTCATCTGAAACTGTTAGGTAAATAATAAGTTGATATATAATTTTACGATTAAGTACACTTTGTAGAAAAACAACAATAATAAACCTGAAAATTCTAAAACTAATGGACAATCTAAAACGAAGAGTGAACAAACGAATATTTATTCCACAAGAAGAATATCATTTATTTTCTGTATGAGCTTGAAAATCACTTTTAATTCATTATATGTTGCGAACACAGTACCAAGTATAGTGACATTAACACCGTTGGATGCCGGCTCAGTGGTCTAGTGGTTAAGTGCTCGCGCGCGAAGCCAGTATGTCCAGGCTTCGAATCCCGCGGGGTGCGGGATCGTGGATGTGCACTGCTGAGGAGTACCATACTAGGACGAAACGGCCGTCCAGTGCTTCCAGGTTTTCCATGGTGGTCTAGCTTCAATTGACTCATGATTTCAACCTGTGAAAAAACTGAATTAAGACATTTATTTCGTAAATAACAACCGTATATATATGACTCAACTGATCAACAGCTAATAAGAACTCACCAGATTCGGTCAAGTTCATCAAATCTGTGGAATTTGTTTCCTTTCCATTTTGAGCTATTTTTAGGTCAACTTCTTTTCCTCGATCAACTAACATTTTTAGTATATTTGACCCCTTGAATTTCATGCATAACAGAAAATTTTTATAATGAGCTTCATCTTATATTTAGTAAATATATTTAAATATTTGCAATGATCATAAGAATTAAGAGATTTGGATGAATATGAAGAAGATTGTAAGAACTTAGTAGTGAAAACAAAAATAAACCAACTCGCATTAGTTTTTTGTGCACTTGGGGATGATCGAGTAGAAATAGCTTATCTTAGCTTATTTATAATTGGTGTCCGTTCAAATTTACGACGTGGAAGACCTTGTTTATTCATGAATGGAACTACACTTACACTTTTCATGGTACTAATGTTATTTTTGTCGGAGTGAATAACACTTAACTTCAATAAAGACTATACAATATATTGCTTTGAACAAAGGAACGTATTATTAAGGCCTGTCAGTTGTAAATGTTGTGTGAACGTCAAGATGAATGATTTTTTCTTTCTTATTCAGACCGGGTTAAGAAATTAATAAGAACATGTGACGTTTCATTGAAAGAAAGATTGCCATCATTAAAAATTGAGCGTATCAAGAAAAACAACTATTCCTAAGAAATGGGATATTCTTGAATTGTTATTTATTAAAATACACTTTGCAAATCCAAATACTGCAATTTAATAAAAATATGTAGTTTACCAAAATGTCCTGATACGTTCGAAGGTGGGGAGAGTCCGCTCTCTCTCACCAAATGCGTATACAAACACTGTCAGAGAAGACCTACTCACTGGGATGCAAAACATTAGAATTCCTTACCTGATTCTCATATACAATATCAGGAATATCAAGAGAGTGTTTACAAAAAGTAAAATCGTTGATATTCTTCAGCTAAAAAAATATAAATCTTGCATTCATACAGTACAATTACATGTACCACGTTTTGCACTCGGTAACTCTCATCTAGATAAACTTTAAGACGGTGCCAAGTTAATGCACGCAGGAACTCACTGCTCTCATATGAACTACCTGAGTATTTAATTTCTTCGAAAAAATCATCATCAAGCACATAGCGACCCATAAAACGAAATCCTAGAACAGTCTCATCAACTTACCATCATGGTTGTGTGAACGCACAAATATCTGACAAATTTATAAGAGTTCCTATTATATTATACGAAACTCCATCAAATGCACTACCATGAGACTGCATCTTCTTACGTTTCTCCACTGTCTTGTGGATTAGATTAGACATATAGGTCAAAGTGTCGAGGTGTGGCCTCCTAAGAAAACCAACTGCTTCGGTTTGGGCACCCAGACAATATCTTATCTCACACAAACCAATCATAAATACTACTGGAAAAATTACTCTTACTTCGACGCTCATTCAGACAAATCATATTCACAATCATATGATATGGCCCCCAAATGCCCTGGTATGGCCGAGAGTGGGGTGGGTTCGCCCTCCCTCTCGAAATACTCTCACACGGCCGCGCGTATACAGCCTCTGCCAGGGAAGTCTTACTCACTGCCTTCTCGTGGTGGGGGTGTTGTTTACGAAAATGAGAGGACGAAAAGCGAATGTCCGGCCGTTTAACCGAATTCCAAATCAATGGTGCAGCTCGTCTATGGTGAAAATTCGGTTCTATCTAAACGTTCTCGAGTCACTGTCCGGTTGAAAGTTGTATGTTACCGCCAAATATGAGTACTGAAGCAGTTTTTCTGAAACCACGTGCACCATTCAAACCGGCTGCCTTCAACGTTTGCACATTTATGCAGGTCGGACAACAGATAGGGCTGGCTATGTCTTTAAAAAGTCTTAATATTGATGTTTGTTGTTTATCCGAGGCCCGTATTCAAGACTCTGGTGAAGTACTACAAATTCGATCTCCATCTGTCGCTTCAAAAGGCTTGTTTTACGCGCGCTTATTCGAGGACCCTGTGGCATCTTCGTCTGGTCTTGCTGGCGTTGGTGTCTCACTAAGCGCTAGAGCTGAGGCAGCATTAATCGATTGGATCCACATTAACAGTCGGTTATGTGCTGTTAGATGAGGGAGTTCCATCAAAGTGAGAAGAAATCGGCGTGGGAAACGATGTCTCTTCGTCATCTCCGCCTATGCCCCGACAGATTGCAGCCCGGATGCAATCAAGGATGAGTTTTACCACCAGTTATCTGTTCTTCTCCAGAAAGTGCGTTCGACAGATATTGTAGTACTAGCCGGAGACTTGAATGCTCGGGTCGGGCGGCTAGGCACAGAAGAGAGTCGTTTGGGTGGCCGATGGGGACTCGTTAGTCGCAGGACAGATAACGGGGACCGTCTACTGCAACTATGCACAGACCACAACCTGTTTCTGGCTAGCACTAACTTTCGGCACAGTCATCGCCGATGTGCCACCTGGCGTCTTCCCTCTGCATCTCAAGCCTGGACTCAGATTGATCACATCGCGATCAGCTACCGCTGTGTGTAAAAGACCGCCGCTTCTTTTGGAGTACCTATCTGGACTCTGATCATGCTTTGGTCTGCGTCAATCTTGCCTTACTTTTCAGTGGACAACGAAGTGACCACCATCAACGGATTGATGTTAGCAAGTTGGTTGCAACTCCTTTTGCAAGTAAGTCTCGAATCGAGCTACCGAAAAGTATAGATGAGCATTGGTTGCAATTGCATGACGCCATGAAAATGGCGGGTACAGTCAGTTGTGGGTTTGCGAAACGTCCCGCTTTTAAGCACTGGGTTTCTTCTGGTTCCTTACAACTCATTGAAGCCCGTCGGTCTGTTCCGGGTGACCGTGAGTCTGACCACAAACGAAGGTTGTTACGTAGTGAAATTGGACAAAGCTTGCGTAAGGACCGAGAAGCCTGGTGGTCTGAGCGTGCTAATGAGCTGGAAGCAGCAGCTGCATCTGGTAATTATCGGAAGCTCTTCCAACTCGTCCGAGCAAGCGGCAGCAAGAAGTCTGGTGTGGGCGAAACGATCTGCAAGGATGACGGAACGCCAATCGCTAACATCCATCGACGTCTTGGACGATGGGCTGAATTTTTCGAAGGGAAGTTCAACTGGCCAGCTGCTCCGGCAACATCGATCAAACTATCCTGCCCTCCATAACCGGTGACAACTGATCCACCAAATGAGACGGAAGTCCGCAAGGAACTCTAACTCTTGGAAAGCCACAAATCACCGGGCCCAGATGACTTGCCTCCGGCTCTTTTTAAAGATGGTGCTGACTTACTGACTAGGGAATTGACGACGTTGTTCACAAAGGTTTCGGAGCTAAGGAGTGTACCAACGTCATGGAATGAGTCGATAGTTGTCCTTATCTTTAAAAATGGTTCACGTTGTTCCTGTAACAACTATCGGGGGGATAAGTCTACTTCCGACTGCGTCCAAGCTATTGGCTTCCTTCATACTTCGTAGGTTGTTCAAAACCCGATAAAGATTGACTCGTGAGGAACAGGCTGGGTTTCGTTCTGGTCGAGGATGTATTGATCATATCTTCACCCTCCGCCAAATGTTAGAACACCGTCATACTCGTCAAAGGCCAACAATCGTAGTATTTCTTGACATCAGGGCTACCTTCGATTCGTTGGATAGGATTGTTCTCTGGGATTGTTCATTGAAGAAGGGTGTGTCTGAGAAGTTTATTAACATTCTAAAAGCCCTGTATAAAAACACCTCAGGCAGAGTGAGGGCATACAACCACCTTTCTCCATTGTTCTATTCGAGCAGTGGGGTTAGGGCAGGGTTACCCAATCTCACCATTACTCTTCAACTTTGCCATCGATGACATTCTGAAAACAGCTCTGATGGATGTAACGGCGGTGTGGATCTGTTGCCTGGAGAAAGACTTCTCGACCTTGAGTATGCGGATGATATTGTCTTACTGTGCGAAAATGCCCAAGCTATGCAATCCGCACTTAATCAGTTGGCAATCAGTGTCCGTAGGTATGGTATGTGCTTTGCACCTTCGAAGTGCAAAGTGCTTCTACAAGACTGGCAGGATTCCAATCCTGTACTCACCCTGGATGGTGAGCAGATAGAAGTAGTCGAGAAGTTCGTGTATCTGGGTAGTTGCAAAAGTGCTGGTGGTGGCGTGAGTGATGAGATCGATTCACATCTGGTGAAAGCCAGAGCGGCTTATGCCAATCTGGGCCACCTTTGGCGCCTTCGTGATGTTAGTCTGGCTGTAAAAGGCCGGATCTACAACGCGTCGGTGAGAGCAGTTTTGCTCTATGCTTGTGAAACCTGGCTTCTCCGAGTTGAGGATGTTTGACGGTTCTCGGTGTTCGAACATCGTTGTCTCTGAAGGATCGCTGATATCCAATGGCAACACCATATTAGTAATGCAGAGGTTCGGCATCGTATGTTCGGGCACAGAGACGATAATGCAATTGGTGTCACCATCTTGAAACACCGAGTTCGGTGGCTTGGACATGTTCTCCGAATGTCGTCCCAGAGAATTCCACGTCGTGCATTATTTGCCGACTCTGGGACTGGTTGGAAGAAGCGGAGAGGTGGTCAGTGCATGACATGGTGTCGTGGGATGAAAGAAAGCTGCAAAGAGCTGACTTGTGATGGTCCTTCACGACTCCCTGGTTGGGGTCCGAGAGATGGTGCGACACAGTGGCTAGGAACCTTATCAGATATGGCTCAGAATAGAAGCCAGTGGAGATCATGCTGTAACCTTCTTTTACTTTCTTTATAAAACGTGGTCGTTTCTTCCTTAACTGAAAGATTTCTTCTGATTGTACCCTTCTGTTCCCCTACTATTACTATTATTATTACACTGCCTTACACCAATCTCTTCGTTATTGTTTTTTTAATATTTTTTTGTTACTTTCCCCACTTTCTTCTTTTTCTTCTTCTTAAATTCTCATTGTTTTGTGTGGCGCACTCCTGTACCAATATATATGTGTTCAAATAAATAAACAATCATATGATAACATTTGTTTTTATTTCTTTTATACTGCGTCATATATGTATTCCCTCTTATTCTCATTTTGCGTATTTCATTCTTCATCTTATACATCAGCTCGCCTATGGTGGTGAATATTCGTATAATTTGTCAGTATATCCACTTACAGACGTATAAATAGATTATCAGAAATCCCGTAGCTCCGTTGCATTCACTTGTTCACTATAATGATGCATTAAATGCGAAATACACAGAAAATATGATCTCAAAAGCAATCAAATCTTCTATCTAATAGGAAGTATTGTTTACACCAGTTTGATCACTGAGTAGCAATCAATGTCATTTTAGTTTAGTCCTTAGAGTTTATCGAGGTTATATAAGTCAATTTACAATGTGGCTACAAGTCTAAGTGGCTCGACATCATGACTTACTACATTTGGTGTTAAGTGGTTGGAGGTAGTCGGGAGGAGACTAAGTTCGTGAAGATCAATTAATAAATAAAACTGACAGATATCTACATTAGACAATTGTTAGAAATATGTTTAAGAAACTGGTGACCTTCACCTATAAAGTAAATATTCCGTTGTTTGAATCGTTACGGAAAGAGTGAAGTGTTTACGTCTAATTGTTGAGTTCTAACAAATAAATGAGTCATGTTTTGAAGTAACACAAAGACAAAAGTAGTATAAAATTATTTGGCTTGGAAATAGTGATTACCTGTTCAGTAGCAGTGAAATTGAACTTTTTATCTACGGATAAACTCCAGTAAAATGATGCAATTGAAATATTTTTCTCGGCAGAATCAATTAAAAGTTTCCATGCCATATAGGTTGATAGGTGTTTTGGGGAACCCATTGAAAATGTGACATTCTCAGGTATACTTTCGACTAAAACAACATGACATTCATTATCACTTGTAAGCAATTCTATATCTGATTCATTGTGCATTAAATATTGGGATACACTGCAACTTGGATAGTTTACATTTGACAAACATTTACAAATTAAGCAAAATAAGGTTAAAATAATCGATGCCCAACTGAAAGGCATTTCTGATTAGCTGAAATTAAAAATATTTGAAACAAAGTTATATTATGATAGGAGTTTCATCTGTACTTGACGTGCGGATATCTCATATAGGCTACAAGTGAAGTAAATCGGAATAAACCAACCGAGTTTTCTGAATACGTGTTGAAATTTTATCGAACACCAACTCGTCAGAGCTGATGAGACTATCAAGCCAAGTGATGTGGTCGACTTCCTCAACTACTTCATTCACTATCGTCATGTAGGTGGTTGACGACGAGCAATCCTAGAGCAAAATTTTGCATTTAGAGGGAGAGAAACACACATCAGCCATGTTTGTATTATTGCTTAAGATAGTCATATGACTCCGCATTTTTTCAGCGTCTTCATCAAACAGAACTGTACCATCTGCACATTCTAAATCACAATGTGAATCTCCTGAGAGAATAATTCCTTAAAAGTTGAACGTCATGGCTAGAAAAATGTTTATGACAAAGTTAAATAAGTATGGAGAAAGTAGATGATCCTGTCGAACGCCACTTGAAGTTGACAATTCTGATAACGGCCCACTATAAGCTCCAACTTAGCCAATAATATAGTATAGTAGAAAGGTTGTACGACCTTAATGTACACGTTTGGAACACCTATTGATGACAGATACTACCATAAAACCTGTCGATTCACGAAATCGAACATTGCCTTAAAGACAAGAAATATAATTATGGTCGAGAGTCTGTCCCAGAACCTGACAAAAGACAAATTTCGAGGAACATCTTTTTCATCAGAGTTGAACTTATACAATAAAGTTGAGATGAATATCCATAATTTTCAATTTCAGTTAGGACAGCAGTAAGAGTGAACGTTGTGGTGGCCCGTTATTTAATCGTCATTTAGATCGAACGATGTTGTCGAAAGCGCTCTCCATTTTAATGGCCCGAGATATGACTCCAGTATATTGTATGAATGATTGTTATCGCCTATCCTCGCATATAATCATCGACTTAAATCGCGTTAGTCAATAACGGAATTAAGTAAGTCAAATAACGAGAATGGACTCGTGAATACATATATTTTGTATATAGAGCGAATGAAATAGAGAGAAGAGAAACGACGCAGAGTGGAGATGGCTGGTAAGCCAACTCACCTTTTTATCAAGCGTTAATCAATATTTATAGTTACACAAAAGTAAGTTACAGACATGTGATGAGTAATGGGATAAGAAATGCACACACACCTACGCGCTCATAGAAAAACAGTCAATATTGATAAGCGAATAAATAACAAGGTCAGAATGTGACTCAAGTAGAATGAATGTGGGCTTAACATAATAACCGACACTACGTCTTTTCATTCCATTAAATGGTAGTCATGTTTCTATGACTCAACTGAGCTCAAAAATATTAACTTATTCACAGGAATACTTGCGTTCCGAAGCGAAAGCATAGTTATCATTCGTAGTTCGATTTCACCTAGTTATATCACTTTCACATTAGAGTGAGAATTTTACAAACATTTTTTTATTCACCCTATCCATATACAGTTAGACCAAGTAACCGATCTGAAGTGATGTTAATCTGAACGATTGAGTGCGATTCCAATGAACTCTACATTAAATGAGATGACCGTCCGTAGCATACACTAATTTATTTATTTGAACACATAAATATTGGTACAAGAGGGCACCAAATATATATGCGCCACATATACAATAATCAATACTACCGATAAGTATAGTTGATTACCAGCTATGTATCATTGAGTATAACCACAATATGACGCTACAATAATGCTAGCATTTAAAAAAAATTATGCTATTCACCCACCTCCAGTGATGCCACCAAGTATGAACTAGAATAGTCATTGAAAATGGTTAACATTATAAGTCATTGTAGTTGTTGATGTTTATTTGATTGGTCTAAAACTCTAAAGGCTTGAATAACCAACCAAAACTTTAGTTGCAATTCAGACGTTTATTTGATTTGTTGACTTAAAATATTTAAGAATACGGTTTATTATGGTTTGACCTTGACCTCTCATCATAGATTAACACATGGTTCACACAAAGTAATACTTTAATGCTTCAAATCATGGGAATAAACAAAATCTATGACCATGTAAGGTGTTCTTACAATTGATTGAATGGACTCATTGATATAATAAAACTCAATGGCGTGAGATGGAGTTACTGTTATCTAGAGAGAAAAATAAGGAATTTTTGTTTATTTTTTTGTCAAGATTGACACCTTAAGTAAGTTATTAATAAATGGTAGTAGTGTTATTTTTTCTCTTTCATTTCAAATGGTTTACACTTTATCCATTTAAAATATTTCTGATAATAATTTGTACTAAGAGTGTTTATATCTAAATATGTGAATAAATGAAATGTTTATCACTATTGAAAAGTGCATTCATTAAGCAGTCCATCAAACCATAAGAAATTCGAGGAATATAATTTGGTTTCGTAATCTTGCTTATCGGCATATACATTATAAAAGGAATGTGAAAGAGAATAAGAACAAAGATTGATACAGAATTCATTTTATTTCGTTGGGATCTCATCAACTATTTACAAACTATAATATTGAGAAATAACGTTATTACAGATATTGACATGCTTATACATACGAGGGTGATTAAAGATAAATATGTGTGTCATGATGTAATGAAGATTCCAGTGGAGCTAATAAGTCCATAAGAATTTTGTTTCGAATAAATAGAAATCGGGAAGGAAATTACCAGAACATTGAATTAGTGATTAGAAATCATGGAGTTAGCATAGATTAGATGATTGTGTAATGAAGCAAATGAAAACGGATTCATGGTAATAAGGATAGATATGAATTGAAATCTGTCAGTTATGAATAAAAGAAAAATGACAATTTCAGAGAGTTGAAATATGAATGATGTAATAAATAAAAAGGGGGGTAATATTACCAGGGTAAAGAAAGATTTATTACTTCCTCTTGGATACATAGATCTGGTTTCGGACGATTGATCGCTATCTCTTCGGCAAATTTGAAAAGACTGGAGTTTGATTGTTTGTTAATCAACTTGAAGAACTTCATTGTATTGACTTGATGTCCTGTGTCAACAAGATATCTTGCGATGGCATTGCTGAACGCTTTTAACCCATTTGATCTTAAACTTTTCGGAATATGTTCTTTGAATCAGACTTAGACTGTCCTTTCTGTTCTACCAATGTAACTGCTTTAGCAGATACATGTAAATTTGTATACACAGTCAGTGCTAATATGAAATGGATACCTATCGACCTTTGATTGTGCTAAAGTACATGTTATTTTGGATAGGACAATCAGTTCAGCTGCAGGATAAATTCTTGTCCATACAGTTTTTAGTCTCATATTGATTGATCCTGTGATATCATAACCTTTGAATGTAAGTTGAATAAAAATAGGTTTTATATTTGATGTAGTTTCTTTGGGTTTTTATTCTCACGTTTTCCATGTTTCTCAATAAATTTCAGTGGGTATTCCTTATTTTTCAAACATTTTTTTAAACATTCATTACTTCCTCTTCGGTAGTACATACTTTTCTCTGTTCTCTGAAACAGTGTTTAAACAAGTACCTTTTTGTGACTGATTGGACGAAAGCTATCGAAATTGAAATAAATCTGATTCCATATGTTTTTCTTATAAACTGAACGTTCAACTGTGCCATCTTTCTTTCGTTTTATTGCAATATCGAGAAAATGAAACTTGTTTTCATGACTAAGCAACTAGACATCTGTGTGGTAAAAGGCAGAACCATTGGTCTAAAATTTGAATTAAATTGAAGATAATTGTCCATTATTAACAAAACATCTCAAGATAAATTGATTATAAAATACTTATCAGACAGTAAATAATTAATTTTTGGGTATATGCAAAGCATGAGCAAATAACCACTGATAGAAAATTCTTCATTAAGATAGCTAAAGTTAATTGATATATGGAACACACAGCTATGATTGTAAATTCAACAATTAAACTCTATTATTTTGTTCGTCTTTAAAATCCCACTCATTTTGTACATTTCTTTGTTACAGATTGTAAAACATTTTGTGTAAATTGCATTGTTGGATATCTTATGCGAGTTAAAACCCTTAGTTGTTTACCACTCATTTACATATTTCCGACTCAATTTCTTATTCATTTTAATTTATATACTGCATCGAAGACCTGAAATTATTGTATCTGAGATTGTAAATCTATGAAAATTTGAAACTTTCTGAAACGTATTGATCCTGAAAATTCAAATGACGTACCACATATACATACGACTGTATCTTTATACCTGTTATGACCTTGACCTGTCTACTCTAGATTAAGACCTTGAAGCAATAGACTGGCCGGTTTAACCTTGAGGCTAGTACGCGTGAGTTCGAGTTGGTGTAGAGAGAAGAAAACTATTCTAGCACCTGATTGGCTTGGAAGCACGGTAATGAGAGAAGACAAGGCAGTTGGAACACTATTGACTCTATTGCGATATCCTGATTTCCTGTGAAATCTCTGAATTCAGATTAGTGCAAAAAGGTACATGAATAAATAAGTGATTTACCCGACCACAACGTACAATAATTTGGGAAAATACAATTATGTCCAAAACTGGGAATTAAAGTAGAAATTAAGGTGCAAAATATTATGTTTAAATTACAATAGTTTCGGAACAAAAAGGGGTATGGCAATGAATGATACATCGAATGAAAGCTCATGTTCTGTAGAATAAAATAGGGACAAAAATGAAATAACGTCCCGAAAAATAGCTTTTGTAATTTGTTAGGGCTTCTTGTTTCCCTGTTCACATCAATACCAGACAGCTATAAATTATTCCAGACTCTTGATATGAAATCTTCAATGTGAATCGCTCTAGTACATAACACTCACTCACTAAATGAGCGAAAAAGTGGTCGGAAGCAGTCGGCACGACAAATTTCGTGATCAGTGAATACATTTAGGATAACTTAAACCTGTAAACTTACTGAGTTTCCTCGTCAAGCCACGTGTTCTGTTGAGTTTTTTATGAGCTTTTGGGTGGGTTTTATCCGCGTCTTTTTTCCAGTTTTGTCTTTTCAAGTTGAAGGAATTTAAGAATTCTTGGAGCTATTACATTTCCTTTATATGTAATATGACCAAATTCGAAAAATCATGTTTGATCAATATGTCTTCTACCTATAGTTTCTTCACCCATGTCAGCGATTTAGTATTCAATTCCTGAAAACTTTGATCGGTATCCACCCAAAAGAATATCGTATCTGATGTATCTATACATTGTAATTGGGTTTTAAATAATATAACGGAGCTGTTCTTTGTTATAATATTTATTTTACTACTGTAAAAGTAATGTATTCTTGAGTGTTGAAATCTGTCGACTTAATTCCAGAGTTTACGATGACACAGTTTGCATGTATAATAGGTATGCAGATTAACCGTAAGAGAGGTGCTTACAATCATGAAGAGCGGAAATGACCGTTATGTCTTTGCATACTAACTAGTTTTGAAATCAACCAAACCTTTTGGGTTAGTGAAATACCGAACATTTCAAGAAAATTAAAATTAAAACACGAACTTCAACGAAGAGATCTCTTTTCAACGAATTTATTATCAAGCTGTACAATCGTATATGTATGAAAAAGTACTAATTCCGTGAGGAAATGTGAACACAATTAACCAAGATTACGTAATAGAAAGATTATAATACTTGATTACGTAATACGAATGATAACAATAGATTTAGTGAATATAATAAGATGATTAAAATGTTTTTGTTATAATAATTAAAGGTCATAGAGGTGTAGAAATAATTAAGGTGATATGATGAGCATTTACGAATAAAATAGTGAGAATAAAAGACATTAGTAAAGGGGGAATGCAGTAATAATAACAATAATAGGATAATCAAAATAATTAAGACCAAGGTAACGATAAGACGTACTTCTTTTGTACGCATAGTTCTTGTTTAAGCTCCTGGATGGTAAGAACTATGTTGTTAAAATCAATATACTCACATATATAACATATCGTTTCCGCTAAAGGTACGTTGGTGAACAAAGAGTTAACGTCAAGCGAGAACATGTGTTTTCCGGAAGTATTAACGTCCTTAATACGATCAATAAATTGCAAGGTATCATGAATAGAATATTTAGATACTTGCCTTCTAACAGGTTCCAATTTTTCAGCTAACCATTTGGTGATCTAGGTTCGCCGACTGAACACTTGAAAGAACTATTGTTACGTTGTACTTGTAATGTCCAGTTCAGTTTCAATAATTAAATATATAAACAAAGGAATGGGATCGCATAGAGGCGACCAGAAGCTGGAGCTTATCTTTTATGGATACAGAAAATAAGTTCTTACTAGTGAAGGTTATTCACAGTTTAGCTGCGTTAAATGTTCTTCTAATCGTGGAATGGCCAGCTAACCAACTTCTACGGCTGGGTTGCATTAAGTAGAAAGAGAAAATTCATCCATTCTTTATGTTATCGAAATACATCAGATATGCAGTACGGAATGCATTAACGAAGAACTCACATTCCTCAAGAAAACCTTGCCGAAAAATGGTTACCCAGAAATGTTCATAGAAAAGAATACGACGAGAAGTAGTTGCGACAAGAAATCTAGTTGTTCCGTCCCGAAGAAAAACCTTTATATAAGTCTGGAATTTAAAGGTGACCGAACATCAGACGTAATAAAAATTGTCTAACAACAACGAAAAACATGTTCTCGCTTGACGTTAACTCTTTGTTCACCAACGTACCTTTAACGGAAACGATATGTTATATATATTGATTTTAACAACATAGTTCTTACCATCCAGGAGCTTAAACAAGAACTATGCGTACAAAAGAAGTACGTCTTATCGTTACCTTGGTCTTAATTATTTTGATTATCCTATTATTGTTATTATTACTGCATTCCCCCTTTACTAATGTCTTTTATTCTCACTATTTTATTCGTAAATGCTCATCATATCACCTTAATTATTTCTACACCTCTATGACCTTTAATTATTATAACAAAAACATTTTAATCATCTTATTATATTCACTAAATCTATTGTTATCATTCGTATTACGTAATCAAGTATTATAATCTTTCTATTACGTAATCTTGGTTAATTGTGTTCATATTTCCTCACGGAATGTCTAGATATAATTGTCGTCCAAATCTTCAATTTCTATGCGATTCAACCTTTCTATAGTATGAATTAGAAGTATTGAAACTATAACTTCTCCTTTTTTGTCTCGTTTAGTGATTCAAGTATTTGGAAAGTGCATTAGTTTTAAAATCAGATAAGAAATCGTTGAGTTTTTCCCGAAACATATAGACTTAAAAGTTACTTATACAGTAACAAGTATGCCTCTAATGTTTCCATTCCTTATTTTAATCAAAACCCTGTTCAGCAGCTCCTCAACAATCATCACTAGAACGAACGTAGTTTGTTTAATGTTTTCTCGACACTCAATAAGTGGTTTCAAGAACTATTGTTAAGAATGTGATCTGATAGTAAGGACTTACTTCTTTTATATGTTACTTGAGAAAAGATTTGTCCTACTTAAAATAAGAAAAAATCGACCAACAGCAAGCTTGTTTCCGGATAATACGATTATGAGAAAAATCCATTTTCTATGGACCTAAGCCTGAAGCATATCTAACATCAAAACTTGCCTTGAAACAAGTACCACTAGTCTTCAGCAAACGCTGTTGTATACTTAACTTCTGTCTGACGATCAATGTAGACACAGAGCAAGTCTGCAATTAGTACCTGTTAAGAGAACTTCAATGATGAAATTTACTGAATATGACCATACCGCTTTGAAGAGCACATTTGATTGGTTCACGATTAGAGACTTATCTTCTATTTATTCAAACATACAAAAATTGGTACAAAGAGGCACCAAATAGATATGAGCCACGTAAATCACCCGTTTTTGTGAGGGCTGCGATACTGCCGAGGTGCCCAAACTGAAGTGGGTGGTTTTCTTAGGGGGTCACACCCCGAGCCTTTGACCCAAAGGTCTAACCCATAAGACAGTGGAGAAACACAGAGACGCAGTTCCACGCTAGCCAGTGACCAACATTAGGTTCATACACCACTAGTTCCTTCAAGATACTGCAGGCCATGTTCACCATTTGTTTTGAATCCGTGTTTTCCAACTCTTCTAGGTGGATCTTCTGTACCCAACAGCCCGGTTAAAGCGTCGGACATCCGCTTTTCGTCCATTTCAGGCGGCCAGAACAATAATTTGATTGAATCTTACTTATGAAGAAACATGTAACATTTCCCACGCCAAGGATTTAACTAAGCTATTGGATTAATGGTCATAACAAATACAAATAAATTAGTCAACGAATGTAACCATATATTCGTAATTGGTGCCAAACCACATGATAGTCATTACACAAGTCCATGTAAGGGATTTATTACCAAGTGTCCCACAAAATCGAATTAAATGTGGAAAATAAAACTCACTACCCTAATTTGTCACATGTATTTGTGAATCAAAACTGTAGATATTTTTCGTTTGTTCCACCTTTTTCCTAAAAAATTCAGTCATTTCTTAATCAGTTGTTTTACGAAAATTGTATAACATATATTGTATATAATGTAAGTTTATTTCCCAAAAATGATTGAGATCGCTGAAAGCGTATATTATTGTAAAATCAGAAAACAAAAGGGTATCACCGATACATGTGATAATAAAACAAAGTTAATAAAAGAAGCAGTTAAAAACTATACACAATCCTAACTGGATAATCATGTCACACCACATCGGACCATTGGAAATTAAAAAAAACTGAAGTTTGTATAAGGCAGAAAGCGTGAAAATTACAAAAAATTCTGACACCGAAGTCGAAAGAAACAAAAATGAAGATTAAAAACATTAAAATATTACTAATTAAACGGCATATATTGATTAGGATGTTTCAGAACTAGGTATGACCTGTTTTGATTTCATCAATCAGGAAGCAGGCAAGTGAAGCAAAACTGTCTTTGTGAGAACTACACGAAACATCAGAGAGGCTGGGACAAAAGAATGCCAACATAATATACTAAATTTAAAAAATGAGACCAGCGAATAAAAACAGTAAGGGCACAATTACTACACGAAGTCAGAACAAAGTTAATAATGCGCTTTCGAATGTAAGTTAGTGAAGCTTAGTCATTTTATAGACGCGAAAATAAATAACAAGATATTAAAAGCATACAAAACTGCTATTTCACAGACAACAGCATTTTGATTTCTTCGACGACTTCGATGCAGGATTGGGTGTCTTCGCATTAATTTGACGAACAAGATCGTGAAATATCTGAAAAATAAAACATTCGAAATTACTATAAACTCTAATGAATTTAATTTTAAGGAACTCCATGGACTGAATAGTTAAGTACTCAAGAGCGAACTGAGATTACAAGTAAAATAACAAATGAAGTAAATTAACGAATAATCATGTTAGGGTCTTAACAGCACTGTGGATGACCACGTTAGTCAGTCAGTCGGTAACAACGTAGAACTTCGTACATCAGTTCGAGTTGCCATAGCACATTAGCACAATTGCCGATTCAAATCCCATAGTGGTAGATGTAGTAAAAGTACAAGCAGTAATCGGAAAAATTAGCGTTTGAAGATGTTAGTCAAGGAAATAAATTTGGAACAAGAAAAAAAGGACATGACGAATTCAGAAGATTAGAATTTGGGTGAACACAAATAGTGGACGCTCCTCAGTTATTGCAAACGATTTTGAGCCATTTTATTTAAGATCTCTAACCATCGTCCCGCGGATCCCAACCAGGTAGTCTACAACTACCAACATGACTTAGTCCACTCGTCAGTGACCTCATGGATTGGTGCCGCCCCTAGCTTACATCCAACCTACTCGTACACCATTGGTGGCTTCCCATAACGTCCGCACACTAATGCAGACAGGATAACATATAAGTCTGACTGTCTTTGGAAAGTCTTAACATCCATTCATGTCGTCTATACGAGGCCCGTATTCAAGACATTAATGGAGTACTACAAATTTGCTCTCCATCTGCTGCTTAAAGCTTGTTTTACGTGTGATTGTCCAGGAACCGCAAAACATTTTTGCCCGACGTTGATGGAGTTGAATGAACTGGCACTGCCGAGGTGCCCAAACTGAAGTGGGTGGTTTTCTTAGGGGGTCACACCCCGAGCCTTTGACCCAAAGGTCTAACCCATAAGACAGTGGAGAAACACAGAGACGCAGTTCCACGCTAGCCAGTGACCAACATTAGGTTCATACACCACTAGTTCCTTCAAGATACTGCAGGCCATGTTCACCATTTGTTTTGAATCCGTGTTTTCCAACTCTTCTAGGTGGATCTTCTGTACCCAACAGCCCGGTTAAAGCGTCGGACATCCGCTTTTCGTCCTCTCAATTTCGTAAGCAACACCCCGTCGCGAAAAGGCAGTGAGGACTTCCCTGGCAATGTTTGTATACACGTGGCCATGTGAGAACAAATTCTCCGCTCCCTTGGCTATACCAGAGCACTTACCGGTAACCAGTGACAAATGGGCATGATTGTATGTGATTTAAGACTTCGTCGTGGTATTTAGGTAGTTCTCAGGAAATACTGTTCTTAGTGGTGAGGATTCATAGATTACCACTTTGCTTCAGAGGAAGAGTAGCAGAAGAACGAAATAAAGTAGTACTTCACTAGAAAGTCCTCATTATTGTGGGACTGAAATAATGACCTGGAAAGGTTCCAGCATCACTTTAACCTAGTGATGTGTGATAAGCTGACGGAGAGATTTTGTTTAACAATATAGTCAGTCAGTCAGCTACAACGTAGGACCAGGCACATATATGCATCGGTCCAAGTTGCCATACCTCATTAACAGAACAAAATGAACCCCGGATAACTAAAAATAGTTAATTAGGAGGGGGTAATATATGAAAGAAAGATTGCAACAAGGATATAGTACAGGAAGGAAGAATTAGTTCATAGAAAGATATGAAGCGATTTTAATCTCTTAGTTTAAGGGAAGACAAAGAGTGTATACACCGACGCCATTGTGATCGATTCTGAGCCCTGTCACAAAGAGTCTCCAACTATTGGTTACGACAGTTACGCGGACCCCAGCCAAGTAGTCTGCATCTACCAACATGGATCAGACTAGAAGTTAGTGTCTTCAAGCACTGATGCCGTTTTGATTTGGCCGCCCCTAACTTCCTTCCAACCATCCCGAACACGGTTAGCATTGCACGTCGTGGTAATCGGTGTTCGGACATACGTAACACGTGGCCCAACCATCTCAGTCGATGAAGATTCACAACCTCATCAACTGATTTACCATCATTCCCTAATACCATGCGTCTAACCTCACTATTACTTACCCGGTGATCCCAGCAGACGCCGGCAATATTTCTAAGGCATCTGTGGTCAAATACTAGTAGCCTACGAGTATCTTCTACTCTTAAGGGCCATGTTTCGCTGCCGTAAAGTAAAACAGAACGGATTGCCGCGCAGTAAACTCGCCCTTTTATTGATAGACGGATAACTCGCCTTCGCCGTAGGTGACGTAAGTTGGCAAAAGCCAAACGAGCTTTTCGAATCCGTGCTGAGATTTCGTCCGATACCAACCCATTAGGGCTGATCAGACTTCCAAGATAAGTGAAGTTGTCAACGTGTTCAACTACTTCGCTCCCTATCCTTAGTTCAGGTGTTGACGCAGACCAGTCCTGAAGCAACAACTTGCATTTAGAGGGAGAGAAGCGCATTCCAAACATTCTGGCATTGTTGCTCAGTGCTACCAGAAGACTCTGCATTTTGTCAGCGTCTTCACCAAACAGGACTATGTCATCTGCGTATTCTAAGTCGGTAAGTGGACCTCCTGGAAGAAGATCAATACCCGAGAATTCAGTCGACGAGAATGTTATTTCCATCAGTAGATCTATGATGAAGTTAAACAGAAATAAAGAACGTGGACAGCCTTGAGGTTGCAAAAGCAGATGACAGTTTGCCATAAGCTCTGACTCGACTGGTAGTGTTCGAATAAAGAGCCTTCACCAGGTTTACGTACTTATGAGGTACGCCTTTCAATAACAGACACTGCCATAGAATCTCGCGGTCTACCGAGTCTAATGCCGATTTTATGTCAAGAAAGACAACCATTGTCGGACGCCGATAAGTATGCCTATGTTCTTTAATCTGACGAATGCTGAATATGTGGTCTATGCAGCCACGACCAGGTCTGAAGTCAGCTTGAGTCTCTCGTGTTTGCAGTTCACGAGAATTAGGAGTCTGATAATTATCGAGACTAGTATTTTAGATACTATATTAGTTAAACTAATCCCTCTATGGTTGTCATAGGATGACTTTAACCTTCTCTTATATATTGGGACGATAAGTGATTGTGACCAGTGGGATGGGATAACGTCTAACTCCCAGATCTTAGCTAAAATATTAGTCAACCTAATCGCTAAAATTGGACCACCAACCTTAAAGACCTCTGGAGCCAGTCCATCTGGACCAGCTGCCCTTCCTCGTTTCAGATTAACTATAGCCTTCTCAACTTCAGCAAGAGTTGGGGGACCTACCTCAATGTTCCATTCACACTATCTGGGAATGGAGGGTAGTTGTAGAGTAGCTGAAGGCCAGCTGAAATGTTCCGCCCATCTTTCTAAACGTCTAGACTGGGAGCAGATGAGGGTGTCGTCTTTTTCCGAAGTAGTCTCACTTACACTTGACTTATTAATTCGTTTCTTTTATTAGTCTGTAGAGCTGTCTTGTGTTCCCTATAGCTGCCTTTTTCATCTCTCTTGCTTTCGTTGCCCACCACTGCTCACGGTCGTTTCTTAGACTTGTGGTCAACCTAGATCTGATTTGTTGTCGCTCTTCATCGTGTTCAGAGCCTGATGGGATGAGTTTACGAGAATCCATCAACAATATAGACATGGCGTCAGAAGTGATAACTCCCCTCAGCTAGGTTGTAAGCTACTACACTTGAAAACCGATATGTTAGAACGGGTAAACCTATACTTCTAGACGTTCTTGACTCGTAATAATCACTCAAAAGTCGTTGATAAAGCTTACTCTACTAACCGTCGTAAAACTAAGTGCTTATACTTAGAAACTTTATACTCAGAAGTGCATGTCGGGCAGCGAAATTGTGAAGTATGTTCAGTGGTAATCATGACTGATTTATGTCAAAGATGTTTATCTTATTTGAAAATCAGAGTGGGACCTCATACTAACTTACACGACACGTTAGTCTAAATTAGGATACATTTTTGCGGCTTTCACTACAAATGTTTAATATTCGAGTTGGAATAAATCTCGAATGTGGAGATAATCATAGCTTTAAAATGCTTGAGTCTGATTGAAATACTTTAAATCCCCTTACTATTTCATTGCTAAACATCGGACAGTCGGAAAACCTACGACCAAATTCGGACTGGCGTGAGATAATGAATCCCAATAAAAATACTAGAGAGCTCGCAACACTAAAACTGAATTTCCAATTTGAGCGGAGTGCATGTGAGTGTATAATGACACTAAATTTGAATGAATATGTACGAAACAACGTAAAATGCTCACCTCATTTACATTAGATTTAGTCTTGGCACTAGTCTCTGCGAAATGACACTTCCACTCATTTGCCAAGTTTCTTCCCTGTTCGGTACCCACACTTCTTTCATCTTCCAAATCACATTTATTTCCAACCAGAACTAGTGGAAACTCGTCAACGTCTTTGACACGAAGGATTTGTTTTCTCAGATCGTTGAGATCAGTGAATGTAGCCTGTGATGTGATGGAGTAAACTAGCAGAAACCCCTGACCATTTTTCATGTAAAGATCCCTCATTGCTGTGAATTGCTCCTATAAGTTTACGATAAATATCACTTTTAAAAAATGACTTGCAGTTCCAGCTGTATCGAGAATCTCTAGCATGCATTGTTGGGAATCAATTTCAACCTGCTTCCGATAGCTGTCTTCGATAGTTGGATCATACTTTTCAGCGAAAATCCCTTGCACAAACTGAACAGTGAGGGCACTCTTCCCAACTCCACCACTGCCAAGCACAACCAGCTTGTATTCCCGCATACTTTGCGGACAATACAGAAATAGCGCCACAGAGGAGAAACTTCAAACAACAGCATCAGAAATAATTAGTATCAACAACTTTTCGATTTCACTATGCAATAAATATCTGTTATTTGCACCAAAAATATGCTTTTCTGTTGTCAGAATATCCTTATTGATTTATTTGTATCGTTTTTTTTGAAATACCAATATTACCAATTGATTACTTGAATATTTTTGGCTAATATTCATCAGAAAAGCTTAAAAAAGCCGTTTAAATAATGCATTTACGTGTAAACTGAGACTTATTTATGATATACAGCTTCTTATATACTTACGTAAGTTTGTCCATATTTGGATATGATGCTAAATATGTGAGTGGGCGACAAATAATTCAGTTCCAATTTAGAAAAGACAAAGGGTAAGTGACCTGTATTGGTCCACGTAGTGGTGGTCTCTCAATCGGTCCACATTCCTCTTGAAAGGGTCCTCAGGTGGAGATGCAATCACGTGTTGAGGTAATGAATTATATTTGTTGGCGATTCAAAGGGAAGGTCGATTGTCAGCTGATAAATCGTTTGCTTTTGGCTTGTAAAACCTTCTTTGAGTGTTCTCGTAAATTCTCTGTTTTGAAAGACAAGGAAAGTTAGGGCACATCAGATGCGGATTCATCACTAAATAATTTAACGGTTATATTCATGTCATTTCTCGTTCTTCTATGTGACAGGGGAAATGCATATAGCATGTCCAGTCGAGAATCATACTAGAGCTCCGATTTTCGAGAATCAGCTCACTGTCTCTTTTTTATGTAAAGGCTAACCACTTGTACACGAAACTGGAGTATAGTTACTTGCGCCTGCTACCCCTCGTGGAGGAGCACAGGCCGACCACCAGCATTCTCCATCCAACTTAGTCCTGGAAAATCGTTCCCACCTATTTCCAGTTGCTATTCATTCTTTTCATGTCTGGCTCAAACTCCCTGCACAATGTGTTCCTTAGCCTTCTTCCTTTCCTTTTCAAGATTACAGGTTAGGGCTTGTCTCATAGTGCGATTTGATGATATCCACAATGTATTTCCTATTCACATCCAGCGTCACTTTCTAATTTCCTCGTCAGATGGAAGCTGGTTTATGTCGAATGGTCGGAGGCCTACTTGATTGAGACGGGAATTGTGTGACGAACCAGCTAACATCGAAGTCACACCTCATGGTTAGCACCTTACGTGGACTGCCCCATTGACGTATCAAGGTACCATAGATGCTTTGAAGACTGTGCAACACAGAGGACGTTATTACCGAAATATATTAGTTAAAGTAGATACAAGCGAAAGTGAGACCACTGCCGCATGGGCCAGTCCATGGCATACGATTAACTAATGCGCGTTGGTTGTCCGTGATCTTGACGAGGATCGATGATTCGCTCGATATTCAATGACCCAACTGCCGGATGATTTGGCTAGGGCTTCGTGACATTTCTCTGGCCCTACATCAGTATCATTAAAGCAAAGGCGATAACCAAAATATCAGAATTCTCTGATCTAATCTGGCTAGCGATTGTGATTGATGTTGAGCACGGCGTTACCACACGTGATCTGGTACGGATGCCTGACCGAGCGCCTTCAGCTAGATGGGTCCACTACAACGTGTGGTCAGCATCCAATGTCGAAAACTTACAGAGCTATTTATTTTAGGGATATGTTTACCGCTACAGGAGCATAGGCCGCCGACCAGCGTTCTCCAACCCACTCTGCCCTGGGCCTTCTTTCATAGTTTCATCTAATTCTTGTTCATTTTCCTCATGTCTATCTCCATTTGCCGGCGTAATGTGTTCTTTGGTCTTTCACTTTTCCTTCTGCCTTGAGGATTACATCTGAGGGCTTGTCTTGTAACGTAGTTGGGTGCTTTCCTCAACGTGTGTCCTATCCACTTTCAGCGCTTCTTCCTCATTTCTTCATTCGCTGGGATCTGGTTTGTTGTCAAAACCAAATGCCCACTTCATGTTTACTCTACGATAATAAAACTCTGTCTTCATCAGTGATGGAAAATCGCCTCCGTCAATGAAAACGGGAGAGTAGTTTTGAAGAATAGATTTTAGGTCTTCTTTTGGCATTTGCTTTTATTACTGCGTTATGGACAGATATTTGTTTTAATCCATCACTGATAGTGTCAATGTAGCTGAAGCTATACAAATGGTTGGTTGGTTAATAAATTCTAAGAAATAATATCAATGTACTCTGTCATATGTTTTTTCATCTCACCTAACTCAGTAAAAAGTAGCAATGTGAATTTCAAAGTAATTAATATTAAGTTGCGCTTGAACATAAGTGTCGTTGATTGTGTATGATCACAACCAGCATGTATCTGTACATGTAAAAGTGATATAATTCATTTTTACTCGTATTCAGAACATATTATTCCCCGCTTATCTAAGGTCATGAGTTATATCACGGATGTTTTTTTCGGAATACCTGAAGGGTTTCAACAAAAAGTTAGAAGGATAATAAACTGGACTAGTATTTTATGATGTCGATTTTTTCAAGTACATGTGTTAATCAGTGTTTCTCCATCTACTCTCAAGGTTTACATTGTGTGAAAATATATCGGTTTAGTTATGGATACAAATTTCTCAGTTCGAGTAAAAACGTATTAATTAACATGAATTTAAAGTTTCTGTGTGATTTGTTTAAGTTATATAGAATGTACTTTTCATACAAATATTTGTTCCTAAGCTGATTGATGGGACTTCAGCAAACTTAGTGAGTTTAATTAGAAGTTCTGACCCAAGAAATTTTTCAAAACAATGTAAGTATTATTTCAATTATAAAACGTGTTACGCAAGCCATATAGTATATGTAACAACTTTCGTCAAATAATAAACAACAAAATTGTGTTTGTGAAATCAAATGTAGTGATTATAATGCTGCATACTCAGGTGAAACAACAAGGTAACTGAGTACGAAGGTGAAGGAACACAAAATGTGCCTAAAGCAAATTTCTAAATCCTTAGATGATATAGTAAAAGCTCGAAAAAAACTCAGCAATAGCATTACATTCGGTAAAGTTTGGTCATACAATTGATTTCAATGGCACAAGAATCCTACAAAAAGGTTTTACTTCTTACAAATAAAGACTAACAGCCAAATCCCTATACATATGGGTAAATCCAAATAATAATAAAAAAAAATAATAATAATAAGGTAGATGGAATACAATAAGTTGTCCTATGGCAACTATTAAATAATAAACAAACCTGGACGCCTCATTCCATTTAATCTATCACTTATTATTTGAACAACAACAATTACTTTTGACTTTTCTAATAAGTTATCTTATCTAAATATGTTAAACAAATAAGCTGGAACGATGGAAATAACACAAACATTCAGTCCTTCATTTTTATTTTGTTTATTTATCTTTTCATGCATTTTGAGACATTTGATTCATATCATATATATAAAAATTGTATGTTTTCTTAAAACTTCGCCGATCAGAGGCGATGAGTAGTGAATGAAAATTACTCTTACACCTTAGATATACTTACAAATACATACAATCTGTTATCTCAACACTTCGTTACGTATCACATGTCTCATACACACTAAAACGAATACCCACTTTAAACATTGTTAACGTGATTGGATGACCTGTTTACTATACAGTTAACCAGAGAACCATATACTCATTTATGCTTGATGATTTTAATGTTTGACTATATTTACTTGAAACGGCTTGAACCAGATTGCCAGGCAAAACGTTGGATTTACTTCAAATTCATCCTTTGAGATTTTACAAATGAACTCTTCTCCCGAATTATATAGAACTGATAGTTACCCGGGTAGTTCAAGTAATGAGTATATTTTCTGCATTACTGCATACAAACACTTCTCATGTGATAATATTACCTAGTTATTATACTTGGATATACTTGAATAAATTCTTATCTATAGCCTTACCATCACCTGCTTTGGCTTTTGTCTAGTTAAGAAACACTCGATTATTGCAATTTCGAAAACTGCTTACCTTATTATCCGATTAGGATTTAAATATAAACTAGGCTTCTTCGTTATTATCTGGTTTTTTGAGCACATATCGTGATTGTTAAATTTGATGACTGACTGTTTAATGACCCGTTCATTTTATTGCTTGTTTCATCTTCATTGGTCTGTTATATTGCTAACGTTTTTTAGGAAAATTGATCTGGAATAATCTAAAATTCTATTTTTGGGTCCAGCTATCAAAGACACGTTATTACTACAATTATATGACTTCAAAATGCACATTTTATGAATGTAGAAACATTATGCATTGGGATGATATGAAAAACCAGTAAAAACCGAAGCCCATAGTACAGTTATTTCGCTTTAGTCTAGGTTTTATTAGTGGTGCAAAACCATTACCTCATATGAAGAATTAATCAAGAAACTTCATATCTCGCTAATAGTACAAAAGCTTTAGACCATTAGGTCAGTATACATATATTCACATTCTTACTTTCACTCAGTTTTCATTGCACTAGGGTTGTCATTCGGCGCTTTAGGATCTTTGATTGTTGTAAGTTAGTAATAAAAACCTGAAAATATCTACAAACCCTTTATCTGATTATATGAACACTATTTATACATCTGCCAAACTAGCGCGATTATTATTCTAGCTTGTGTTTTAGTTTTCATATTCTCAACACGATCAGTAATGGATACAATGTACGTGGCTTTATCAAGATATTACAGTCGCGATTTCAAGGGTTGTAGGAAAATTTGCGAAAAACTTTTGAAAACCGATCCTGATAATGAAGTGAGTACAAATTAAAATTTATCAGCTTTTCATTAATGGCATGTTGGCTTTTGAATATGAGAGCAATCACGGAGGATATGATTGGTGACGACGAGTTTTACACGGAGTTTAACCTTTTTGATGTCGCATTCCATGATCAAAATCCTGTCGACAGTTGTTTTCTTCGTTTCTCATCAGATAACTCCAAATCAGCTACCAGTAGTTTAAGTCGGGCTGTACGGTAAGTAATAATGGTTCTTTATGGGATCTGCTATTTTAGTCCATCAAATCTAACCAGTCGCCCATTAACAGGTGTTTATAATACAAACAGTACAGATACGTATACAAGTTCTATCGAAACAGTTATTCGTAACACTTCAAGACCTATAACTGCTCATTATAATAAATGCCAAAGAAAACGAACCGTAAGCATTTCATTCCTAATTTTTAAAAACATTTTATGCTACAAAAGTAGTTAAGTGAGGGTAATTTTTAAACTATCTGGGTTATCAAAATGTCGCTGGACTTTTCTTAGATTTCATCACATTTTAGAGGTAGTTTTAGCCACGCAATATCATCAGTGTATGGTAAAATTCTCCAACTAGTTTTTATGACAGTCATTCCTTATCAAAAATTGATCCAGGTGTTAATAATTGACCGGCCAGTTCCGACTCAGTTTGATAAAGATATCATGATCGTTACAAGACCTTAAGGTCATTGGTTTGGTCCTCTGCAAGCTCAAGCCCTCCCAAAATATACATTTTATTGTTTTCTGACTTTTAGTGATTAAAGCTGATTTCTGTCGGTTATGAAAGTTATTTTCAAAATACAGTCAACGCTGTTGTTATTACTTTATAAGTACGAAGGAAAGGTTAAAGATGTTACTTCAAATAAAATATTCTAGAACAAAAATACTTTTCACTCATGATTGATTGTATATTTAGTACCATGAATGTCAAGTATGAACATACCCAGTTTCTGTACTTACTGAAAGCACCCAAATCTAAACACATCTATAATTTCAAGTCAAAAAGCTTTTTCATTGCCGAAATGGTTGAGACGTACAATTCTAAAACGATGAAGGGAGAATTAAAAATTATGACAGTAAATGATACCGCTCGATCTTTTGTAAAGTATTTGAACCTAAAATAGAGGCACTTTTTCGTGTGAGAGAAAACATTTATTCAAAGAACTGAAAGAGATAAGAGCAAGTAAAAATGTGAGCCAAAGATTCAGGAAGTAAACAGAACACATGCTCATTATTAAATGCAATTGATGATAATTGGTAATGGCATGACCATAAAGTATACATGCAGTGAATGAAGACACAGGTATGGTAAAAGGATCTATTGTTATTTACAACATTACACAGTGCCTTCGTAAAATATGAAAATCATTCATTGAATACAATGTTTGCACATCTTTCTTCAGTTGTCCTTTACATACTCCATCATTCTTTCAATTCTGTTGTTATTCTAAGTGCTCTCTGTTTTTCTTTCTGTTCTCTCTATTTCAATCTTCTGCTGGTTAACAATTTAACTTCCTGTTCCTGATGCATACTACTCAAATCTGACTACATATGTAACCTATACCCCATATGCAGCCCAGAAAATTTAGCTAGAAGTTGATAGCACTAGAGTTTTTAATACTTTGCGAAAGCGGAAAGTGTTCTGTGTCAGTTGATTTTCACTTGATTGGGAATAGCGACAGAGTTGGATTTACAGGGTTACAAAATCATGCTATTAATACCATAACAGTAAATTTTCGAAATAAAATTTCGTAATAACTAATATACAGTACTTTATTACTGAAATGGCTCATTTCTGTTTTTTTTCTGCAGACTGCTCAGTTAAGTAAAGAACCCGTTCATATAAGTCGTTTGAATTTAGCGAAGTATACTCAGAATTTAGAAGTAGCATGTTCATTATTCGAATATTTATTCTATGTTGCTAAAGAATATCGTGAAGCGCTCAATTTGACGAATTTAATATGTGCCACTAATAACAAGGCCAGTAATCAGGGTATGACTTAAAATTTTTTAACCATCTTACATTCAGTATCAAAATTATTGTATAATGAACCTGTTGAGGTAAATTGGTGGTGGTATTTGCAGCAAGCACGTTGTTTATATTGGTGAGTTAAGAATGGTATATTTTGCTAATTGATTAATTATTTATATCAAAAAGTAATATGTGAACTTAAGACACTTTGCATTAGGAAGATGGGATTCTTAGTAATCTTGTGTACAAATTTATATGTTTTATGGGGATTCGGAACATCTAGAATAAATCAAAGAGAACATATCTTTAATTGTAACGGTCATTAATTTCTACAGAGCGATTGTGGCTTATATGCTTCCATGTTGAAAGATTATTTACATCTGTGTGCGATTTCACCTAAGTTTCTTAGATACTTAAGGTAAATTTATTGATTATCAAGGAAATCTTCCAAGTGCAAGTGTTATGTATTAGCGTCTAAATAATTTCGACTAAGCAAATTCTGAAAGACTGATGCCACAGAATGCTCGGAGGAATTTCTACACTGCAAGTGTACTTTTAGTGCATAGAACTGTGAAACAGGACTTGTAGACTTATCATATATACTCATTCGTACTGTATTTGTGGAAGTTTTAACTTAATTTTAGTTAAGTCAAAACAATTTGTAATTCAACCAACATAAGGAATTCCCAAGAATGCCGTATCTTTGTATGCGAATTATGCTTTATTATAGATAATACCGAAGTAAGATGTTGACAGGTTTTTGTTGTGAATGTATTTAGCTTCACAGTATAATCACTGTTGGTGCTATCATATGTCTCAATAAATATTCCTTAGTCTTCACTTTAAAGTTGACTTATTTGGATTAAAGTATTCTCTTAAATACTTTTATTAATCACCACCACGTTTTATTTGAAATTAAGGTGTAAAATGTTGGCAAGTTAGTGAAAAACTACATACTCATTATGTTTACCTCAATTTTTAAATCTGAGTTTTCCAGTAAATGTTTTTCTTGAAAGTTAAGTCTTGAATATTCTACAAGTTATCTACTAATTAATATTTATAAATTCTGTTTTTCGTAAAGCTGATATTTTAAATTGTATTCTAAAAACTAAGAATGTTAAAATAGACAGTTAAACATCTTAAAATCTAAATGAATGATAGTGATTTAGATTCTACTCAGCGTCATGAATATGTCTTCATTCATTCTAATATTTAAGTCCACGTCTTGAGATTAGTGGAAAATGACAGTGAGATATGTTGATGATAGTGTTATGTTTGAATGACTTTTCTCACTTATTGATAGTGACCTGAACCTCATCTGTAGAGTAGTTAGCATTGATAACCTAATGAATATTAGTACCCTATGATTTCTTACATGATGAGTCGATTTAACATAGTAGACACATGAATTCAAAGTGGTAAATAATATAGTGTTATAGTTAACAACAGTTAACGCCCAACTTCAAGATCAGCAAGCTGAATTTCGTAGATTGATTTTGTACCAACCAAATCGCAACACTACGAATCACCAAAAAATGCAAAATGAAAACAGCCAGTGTAACAGAAGCTCCTACATTAGGCCTCAACATACACAAGGAAAAACATATATATATATATATATATATATATATATATATATATATATATATATATATATACGGATTACCAGAAAGAAAGCTTTCTGAAGTTTTTTGTTTCTTTCAGTTATCCATTCGTAACAACTGCAAATAGCTCTCATCACAAAATATGTGGTATTGCAGCCGATTCCTCTGTTATATTCATGTAACTTATGAATTTTCAAAACAAATATATATTAACAAGACTTTTTCAACACTAGCTTGGTGCTTATCTTCACCGTCCTAAGTTTATAACTAGTTTATCTCTCGTTTCATCATATATTGGATTCGTGCATTTTAATCTAATGGCACCGTTTTTCTTGAAAAAGACAGATAAGAATAACGATATACTATCGTGGTTAGGCTTGTGTTTTTACAATATTTCACCCTATGATAGTTTGTAGGCCTTCCATAAAAGCATATATGCATACAGTTAGTCAGTTGAAACAATTTTAAAGCGGGAAAATTTATGGACGTAATTTTACAACTAGGAAACAACCGAGCCAAAGTTTTTTTCAATTAGTAACTATCTCTGACCATAAATTTATGTCAAAATGCTATCACAAACAAATAATATTCCAGTTGGGAAACGAAAATTAAGAGAATTTTAAATTTTCCTTAGACTGTTACAATCCCTTTGTTAAACTAACAAACAACTTGATATATACTTGTGTCAGTTTTACTGCAATTTGTGATAACAACATTCAATTTCTGTCATTTTTAGTCTAGGACTTAAACGAGAAGCTGAATGTTCGGTCAGTCAATCATTAGAATTAAACCCAAGTATAGAAGCATATACACTTCAAGCATTTGTTGCAATACAGCTTGATCAGCCCGGTCGTGCACTTGGCATTTATGATAAAGGTTTGGAAAGATTTCCTCATGATATTGATCTATTAACTGGTAAAGCTAGAATATATCAGGTAAATAGATGTTTATTGATTACATAGATTATGTATCACGATTGTGATTGAAAGTATAATTGGATTTTCGTTAAATGTTTTTTTTTAATTTACTCAAACGTTTGGTTTTAAGACAATCAAATATTTCACTAATTCACAGCTAATTGAGCAGACATAAATAGGATGAAACCCATATTCTAGATTCCCTTAATTGTCAGAAGTGCAATCATAATTTAAATATCAGAGGTAGCATAGGATTTAAATATGGGGTACAACAATAACGCAACCCATAGTGATAATACTAATAAAGATAACTCATTTGTTTCATAAGTCTGGTAAAAAACTCAATAAGAAATATCAAGAGTCATATATTGTAATGTAAGGAGTTATTTTTATCTGACACTTCACTCTTACTTGTCAATAGTTGTAACCATTATATGAGTTTCAGCCTCGATAAACTGTTTTCATGTAGTGAATTCCAGTAGTAATTTATTAGACCATAACGCTTTCATCTCATTCTGCATAATACATTTTGTAATAAATATTATTTAGAAGTTAAGCAATGCCTCACAATCGGTTGCTTTATACAAGGAAATAACTCAAATAGACGATATGAACGTTGAAAGTTTGGCTTCAATTGCAATGCATTATTTTTATGAGGATGAACCAGAAGTCTCACTAAAGTATTATAGGCAAGTTTTGAGTGTGTAATTTTAGTTTATTTAATGCGTGTTTATGTTTTGGTGATGTTTATTTTTAACAACTATAGACTACTTACTTACTTACGCCTGTTACTCCCAATGGAGCGTAGGCCGCCGACCAGCGTTCTCCAGCTCAATCTGTCCTGGGCCTTCTTTCATAGTTCCATCCAACTCTTGTTCATTTTCCTCATGTCTATCTCCATTTGACGGCGTAATGTGTTCTTTGGTGTTCCTCTTTTCTTTTGGCCTTGAGGATTCCATGTGAGGGCTTGTCCTGTGACATAGTCGTGTGCTTTCCTCAACGTGTGTCCTATCCACTTCCAGCGCTTCTTCCTCATTTCTTCCTCCTTTGGGATCTCGTTTGTTCTCTCCAACAGTAGGTTATTGCTGATTGTGTCCGGCCAACGGATCCGAAGTATTTTGCTTGGACAACTGTTAATAAACACCTGTATCTTCTACATGATGGCTTTCGTAGTTCTCCCGGTTTCTGCCCCATACAGTAGAACTGTCCTGACATTTGTATTGAAAATGCTGACCTTGGTGCTGGTTGACAGTTGTTTTGAGTTCCAGATGTCCTTCAGTTGTAAATATACTGCTCATGCTTTTCCGATCTGTGCCTTCACATCTGCATCAAATCCATCATGTTCATCATGGTAGGTAATCGAAATATAATCAATTAACTGTCACTGAAAATAGGAAATTATTTACCTTTTCGATTTACAATTCTGACAGTCGGTTGTGTGAATCTGTCACGTCTTTTAGGTTACGGCCATCTTATTAACAACCTCGAGTAAATTAAGCTTATCAATGTAACATCATGTTATTTGCTCAGTATTTTGAGTAAAAGAATTTCGTTACTTAGATAATTTCAGTAGCATATTTTTTAAACAGAAAATATATGGCAAACGTAAACCACTTGGTTATGATGGAATTAATTACAATCCATACAATTCATAAAATAAGGAAATCAGTTGCACAAATCTTTCCTAATTTTATCGGCCTAGTAGCGATTCAATGAGACTGTACCCCTCTCAATGAGGTACTTCAGTAGCAGTTGTTTAAATTGAGAAAATAATAGCGGTGGGACGTGAACCATATTGGGATTGACGTTGCGGACATTTTTTATGCAATGAAACACTTCGACGTTTGGATGAAAGGAATAAAAAACTGAGACCTTATTGCAGTCACTACATAGTTCTAATTTTATTCAGTTACTATCTATGTAATCATTCTTTTGATTTGATCATTTGTGGATAGATTTTATCAAGGGGATGGTTTTATGAACTTTGTTTCATAAGTTATTTAAAACCAAAATATGTTAGCCATCGAAATTCGTTTCATTGGTTTATTATTTGTATATTTGACATAATAATTATACAATTTAACTCTGATACCAGGAGAAATAAAAGTTGAAGTATTTTAATCTAGATCTAAACAAGTTTTCAATAACTTTCAACTAATGTGATAGAAACTGTGAAATTAAAGTTGTTTATTCTTCGAAATTCGATAAGTTAAATTCATGAAAAAGATTGTGGAATAAACAATATTTTAGGAGACTTAATAAACTTTATTTTAAAAAATACTTAACTAGATATGTAACATTAGTTCAAATAGCATATTTAGCATCATATAATCTTCGACATTCCAGATTCAGTTTGCTGATTATTGTTAAATAGCACGAAATCCAAGTTCAAGGTTTCTTTTCAATGAAATTCAAATAGCTGACATCAATATAACCTAATTCATATAATTTATTCCAATTTTTTTAATAGACGTATTCTACAATATGGATATGAATCAACTGAATTATATAATAATTTAGGATTGTGCACATTTTATACTCAACAATATGATCTATGCTTATCATTTTTCAATCAAGCTATTGCACTAAGTGATACAACGAATTTAGCAGATATTTATTATAATCTGGGACATATCGCAATTGTAAGTCATGTAATTATTTTTACTACATATTATGTCACTGTTTAATTTTGTTCAATAAGATGAATTACTTTTTAAGGAATAATCTAATGTTTAATGAAATATTTAGTCATTACAACTATTGGATTAATATACTTCATGATATATAATGATACTTCGGAAGTTTAAATAAAAGTGTTTACAATTTCCTGTACTTTAGATAGATTGAAATATCAATCATTTTGAAATATGTACGTATTTCATTACATCAAAATTATTCAACAGTCGTAGTGAATCATTTTGATATATTAAACTTATCAAATAAGTTCAACATTATACTAATCAGTATAGAATCATTCAACTCATTGATGGTCGCTTATTTCTATTTCAAGTACTATGACCTAAGTTTGTTTACATAAATGTATTATACTAAAGTACATCAATGTTTTATTTTTTTATATTTAAGCTTTTAAAATCATTTTTCCCACACTTTCTATAGTTTCTTAAACCACTTAATTTAAATAATAAATAAATTTTATTCTACTTATTACTGACAATATTTTATATTATTAAATAATTTATTTATCAAAATCTAATTTTGATTTCTATTATAATAAGATTTTTGTTTATTTACATTATGATTTAAAGTAATTGAAATGATTGAATATAAGTAGTATAAGTAAATATAGACGAAAATCTATTACAATAAAATTATAATATTAGCTAACTAGATTCATTAGGAATATTCATATTCTTAAAAAAACAACATATCTTTATTAAATTTCTCAATATTATAAATAAAGTGTAATTTAACATCGGGAGGGATTTTGTGGATATTATACTAGTTACATTGGTTGAGATCATGAGTCAATTGAAGCTAGATCACCATGAAAAAATTCTAAAGCATTGGATGGCCTGAGTCCTGGGCTTGAATCTTGCGAGGCGGGATCATGGATGCTCACTGTTGAGGAGTCTCACAATAGAACAAAATGGCTGTCCAATACTTCCAGGTTTTCCATGGTGGTCTAGCTTCAACTGACTCATGATCTCAACCATTGAAAGTGTAATTTATTAGTGTATATCTATTTTATTAACATTTGTTTTTGTGTGTGTCGAGAATTTTAACCCATAAATAATTCTGATTTTTATTTATTTACTCCTTAAAACACTACAAATTTATTAGATTTTCATCAGGTTGTTAAGATAAATTGTTGATTATTATATGTGCTTTATCAATGAGATATTGTTAAATTATAAAAATAAATGTCAATAAATTTTCATGATTATTTCATTATTTAGATTTGTTGTTTATTACTTATTTAATAATCATATAAATAAGTGATTTGTAATGTTTCATATTTTAAAGATTTTTATGCATTATTACTATTATCATTACCATTACTGTTATTATTATTGTTATTATTATTGTTATTAAATGATAAACAATCTATCCTACTGAAATGAAATTTTCTTGTTTTTTTACATAAATATATTTCAATAGTTGAAATCATGAGTCATTTGAAGCTAGACCATCATGGGAAACCTAGGAGCACTGAACGGCCGTTTACGTCCTAGTATGGGACTCCTCAGCAGTGCGCATTCACGATCCCGTCTTTCGAGATTCGAACCCAGGACCTGTCGTCACCGCGCACGAGCGCTCAACCTCTGGACCATTGAGCCGGCATCCGATAGTGTTAATGTCTAACTTCAACCAATCCATGTAGTTAATATGAATGAAGAATATTCTTTTCAATGATTTCTCATCATGTTCTACAATAATAAATCCAAATTAATAATCCATAAAATTGGCTAGATTTAAGGCAGAGTAAATCACTTAAAATTGTAATATGTGGATCAAGAATTGTTGTTTGTCATATAAAATCAAATCGTTAATGTTGGGGCTGACTAATATGAAGTGTTAACTTGAATCGGTGTATAAACGAAATGAAATTGTGCAATAAATGACCCAAATAAATATGGTCGACATGGGGTGAGAGAGAAAATAATGTAATTACAAACCTGAAATTACGTAATATGTAGAATAATATGAATTAGGTCAGATATAGTAGATAGGAGTGGATGCTGAATAAATTTCTCAGAAAGGTTGTCAAGTGTAATAATAATAAATAAATAACAATGATAAAGATAATAATAACAAGTTTTGGACATAACGAGCAATTCTTGACTCACATATTACAATTTTAGATGATGCACTATGCCTTAAATCTGGCCAGTTTTATGGATTATTAATTTGGATTTATAATTGTAGAACCTGATGAGAAATTATTGAAAAGAATATTCTCTGTCCATATAATTGTGTTCTGCTATTGAAAATCTGAAAGCACTAGACAGCTGTTTTGTTCTATTATATGATTTTTCAGAAGTGTATCCAAGAGTCGAACACAGATCCTCTGGTCTCTTGTTTGAAAGCTTATCACGATGAGATAAAAAAAACGAAAGATTCTTGTTTATTTGATGGATATAAGAAAGGTGAAGAATAATTTAAAAACGTAGAGGTGATTAAAACTTGGAACATCAAAAAATGGTGGCTATTAGTTTATCAATTACAAAAATATCACAAATGTAATGACCGTGGTATAAGGTGAACTTGAACTTATTTCTTTTAAACACTAAGACCACGTTCGAAATGTTGAATTTATGACACCTCTACAGTGAACAAATCAATGATTTTTAATGTTTGTTTAAACTGATTGTTTAACCGTGTAGAACATTTTGAAGAGCATTTCTGGTGAGGTAATGCAACAAAAAGTGATGAGATGTTTTCACATTGAGCTGGTGATTGATTTACATTCTCCTTTTAATGTCCAAACAAGGTAATGCCCAGTTATACGTTTAGCAAGAGACCGATTTGTGCGCTTATTGTTAATAGGTGATGTAAAATAATGGTCAGTAAAACATGACAGTAAATATAATGAACAACAATAAATAATTCAGTAAGGTCTAATTCCATTTGACAACATTTTATATTATGAATTAATATCAAATAAAAAAACTTCTTAAAATAGTTAAAACATTAAACAGTACGAAAAAGATAGTTGATGCTTTCATCAATGTCGGTTCAGGATGAAAAATACCTCTTAGTTAAGCAAGTCTTCATATATCGTTCAAATAATTTCTGTGTGTAAAAATGAAATCTATAAAATTTTCAGCGTTAAAATGCAACGATTGATTAGTCAAAATCATCCACCTGAGCTATAAATCTTCTCCACCATCTCGATTGATTAGTCGAATCAACGTAACAAGCTTCAGAAAATAAAATAATTAAATGACTGAATGATTATACAATAGGATTTAAACTTTTATTTCCGTAATTCTCAATCAAAAATAATTTTAAATTCACTTGATGTTGTTTACACGTATTATTGCCTTAATTCACAAGCTTCGCACAGGATGCATATATGCCAATAAGAGATTGGTCAATCGCAGTCCTAAATAACGATCAAGAGAAACAAGTAAACAACATCAAGTGAATTCAATACTTTACCCCCAAGTAGCTATCATGATACAGTAGCTAAGTGGATAACGTGATGGTGTTTAAAGCGAATGGTACTGGATTCGTGTCCCAGAGTGAACATCAACTCTGAGATGCAGGTACATCCAACTGACGAGTTTCAAAGAGGACGAAATGCGCATCATGGATTCCACTGTTATCCACTTTCCATCTTTGCAAAGTAATTTTAACTTAAATCGTTTTTGTAATTTCAATGAAATCTAACAATTTTTTATAACCTTCATCACTGATAAGACATTTAAAATTTTACTTTTAAAAACAACAAATAATGAAATTGAAAATTATAGAATAACCAATGTATCTCTAGTTTTACTTTTATTAACAAAATGTATTCCATCAAAAAATCACTAGGAAATATAGTATATTTTTATTTATTAATTATTAACATTGTTTATCATTGAAATACATATGGATTGAAGTTTATTCGTATTATAGTAAGTTTCTATTGAAGTATTAGATAGTCTAGAGAGAAAAAAAGTGTAAGAAATTAATTAGTATGTTCATTATGGTTGAATTTATTATAGGATGAAATGGCTGTCTAATGCATCCAGATTTTCCCAGGTGGTTTGGCTTCAATTTACTCATGATCTTAACCATTGAAACTACTATAATATCCACCCCATTTTGTTGATTCTAGTTTAGATTATTTCAATTTTAAAGCAAATAATGAAGTTATTTATAAATTGGTTAATAAAATTGATTTTAATTAATTTAATTACAAATAAATAAATAAATAAAACCATAACAACAACATAATCATACAATCTATGTAATGATTTTTTCACATTATTAAACTTTAATGTTAACTAATGTGATCAAGATAATTAAGAAAATAAACTGATCATGATTTAAAGATCAACTTTGAGGGGATTACAAAATAACTTCTAGTTATAGACTACAATTTATATTTATTTTAATTTTAATAATTATAAAAAGTAGTAATATTTTGTAAGCAATGATGGATAGTGGCTAGCAGTGGAATCCAAGACGGGCGTTTTTTCCTCTTTGAGACTCGTCAGTTGGATGTACCTGCATCTCAGAGTTGATGTTCACTCTGGGACACGAACCCAGTACCATTCGCTCTAAACACCATCACGTTATCCACTTAGCTACTGTATCATGATAGCTACTTGGGGGTAAAGTATTGAATTCACTTGATGTTGTTTACTTGTATCTCCCGATTGTTATTTAGGACTGAGATTGACTCAGTAGCTGAGTGGATAACGTGATGGCGTTGAAACGAGTGTTACTGAGTTCGAGTCCCAGAGTGAACATCAACTCTTAGATGCAGGTTCATCCGGCCGATGAGTCCCAAATAGGACGAAACGCGCGTCTTGGATCCCACTGCTAGCCACCATCCATCATTGCTTACAAAAAGCTTCTGAAATAAGGCGATGTCGAGGCATACGCACTGTATGCACATATGCCAATAACAGACTGATCAATTGTAGTATTAACCCTCAATGGGAAGATACAAGCCAAACAATATCAAGTGAAAAGTAGTAATAGCGAGTAGTATCATGAAAGTACAATACTCTTCAAATGTATTAAATTAAATATTTCATAGATACACTGATGTAATTTATAGTTTTATTTGAATATGTATTATTGTTATCAATAGTTGATAAAAGTCAATTGAAAGTTGTTTATCTCATTGAATAAACGTTTAATGGGATCATTTCATAAATAACTAACTGTTCCAGCAAAATATAAATTCACTACGTTGAATTTATTCATTTTTTAAACCTTAGAATATTGGAGAACTTCAAATGGCCTATCATTGTTTATATCTCTCTATTATGAATGATAATAATCATTCAGAAGCATACAATAATTTAGGTGTACTAGAACAGAAATGTGGGAATATAGATATGGTAAGAATATATCAAAACGAATAAAATTTATATAAATTGATATGTGAAATCATTGTCGAAATTATCATTGGTTATTCTGTTACTTTTTTTTAAAACATAAGAGATTAATCAGTTTTGAAGGCGAACACTAAGTTGGATTTTTTTCAAAGTAAAAAGTAACATCAATGCAATACATTATTGATTACTGATGTGATTTGTATGCAAGATCAAGTATTGGAAACATAAGGTAAAACCTATCCAAATATATTCTAGTGTAGTGAACGAGAACGCATATGGAAAAAATCGTATGTATTTGAATACAAAGTTACAGAACATTTTAGTAAAATCTGAGAACTATACAGTAAATACTTCATTTGCAAAATGTCAATCGATCGCCTCAAACTTCATTATTCTTTCGTTACCACACCAATCATTCTTTGTTCTCGTTCTTTTTTTGATCTTCTTCACCTTCTGCTTCTAGGCATTTCACTTTCGATTGCTGATACATACTACTTATATCTGTCGACATCAGTAGCACACACCACACTAGCATAAACGTTACATTAACTTTAAGTATTGAGGTTGTTCATGTATTTCTGTGTTCTCGTTTCACTTTTTCATATTTTCCTGTTAACTTTAATTATTTGTTTAGATTTGTTTTCAGTGCAACTTTTTACCGTTTATTCTAGAGAATTTTGTCCTCATCTTGCGAATTCAGTGTAGTAACTTTGTTTGATATATTGTTGTTTCTGTCTGAATTGTTACTGTAAATGAAATTGCCGATCAGCACAACTATTGTCTAATGTATAATAAAGATAGATATTTTATAAAACAAAACGTGTATATCCGCTCTTACAGTAAGGCTAATGTATGATCTGATATAAGTACCAAAGATTGGAGCTTTGATGCTCAAAAAACCAAGGATGCGGTTAGAGAGGTTAATATGATGAAAAATGTTGTATTACAAATTGTCACAAGATCAATCGTTGCCTCATATCCACTTTTCCATTTTGATTTGTATATTTTCATTTTAGGCTAAAGAATTATATGAAACATCATGTCAGTTAACCTTTGATTTGTTTGAACCACATCACAATTTAGCTTTTCTAACAGAAACTGTAAGTTAACCAAAACTTTTTTCCTAAAAGTTATTACGATGAATTCAGACTTTTGATTTTGTGATTTTATGGGGGTAATTTTTATTAGGTATTGATATCAGCTGAATAATCGAATGTTTTTATCATCGTCATCTTGATCCAACACATGATCGAATCCAAAACCATGGAATCTTGGAATGAGAGCGATAACTTCAAGTTATCGACTCAGGATCCAACGATCCACATTTTCACTCGCTTCATTCAATTTCTGATGTACCTTCATCTTAATTGAAAATAAATGATCAGTTAGTTTAGCTCACGCTATAGTCGGATTCATATGTCAAGGCTTTCTATTCCAACTTTTGGATACATTGTTAAAATCGCATAACTAAATTTTAAAAATAGGTGTTTACTTATTAGGTAGATCAGCTTAAAAGTAAGTTTTCTTAAGTAAATGGTTGTTTACCGCTTGGGATGTTTTTCGACAAATATTTTCATGGTATTTATCCTAATAAAACGGGATTGTTATGAAAGATTATTTCAGTGCAATATAAGGTCTGTCTTGAAATTTTTCATTAAACTGAACGATGAGCAGAGCATTTCTGAAAGAAATGAAAATATTATGTCTCACTGAGTAGAGGTAACATTCTGTCAGTTTATGACTTTATGATAAGCTAACCTTTTAAGTAATAAATATAGACAAATTTAAGTTTCGATAATGTAATAAGAAGACAAAGATTATCAGAGCTATGTGATATATTAGCGCAATACATTTCGAACAATCTGATCACACATAATACACTTGTTAAGAACATTTATATATAAAAAATAAAAGGTTTACTAGACTAGAAATGGGGTAAGAGTTCTGATAATCTTCATCTTCTTATTAAATTATCGAAATTTATCAAAGGAAATAATTGCTTTAAATATAAGTTTGTATTCATTCACTATTTAATCTGTTTTGTTTTGATTTATTATGTAAACTTATATACTTACTTACGCCTGTTACTCCCAATGGAGCATAGGCCGCCGACCGACATTCTCCAATCCACTCTGTCCTGGGCCTTCCTTTCCAGTTCTATCCTATTTTTGTTCATTCTTCTCATGTCTATCTCCATTTCTCGATGTAATGTGTTCTTTAGTGTTCCTCTTTTCCTTCGGTCTTGAGGATTCCATGTGAGGGCTTTCCTTGTTGAGCAGTCAGGTGTTTTACTCATTGTATGTCCTATCTACTTTCAGCGCTTCTTCCTGATTTCTTCTTCTGCTGGAATCTGGTTTATATACACGCTATTTATCTTCTGAAGGTCATTAAAATGTCCAAAGTTAATATTTCTATTCAGTAAGATATAACAATCAGATATTGTTTTTTTGAATTAATTTATTTAAAATTAAAAAAAGAAGATCTTTTTAAGAAAATTTATCACAAAAATACACTACAAATTTTATAATACAAAATCAGCTATTTTATTTTACATTTTAATTTATCATAAATATTGCGTAAAATTAATTATTTACAAAAAACAAACAAACTAGTGATTAGTAACTAGTTACTGATTGTGAACTGAAGCATTTCATGCTTAAATATTAACTAAACTATCTAGAAACTACAAATTCAAATAGGCCGGGGGGGGGGGAGGTTGTGTGTGTATGTACGTGCATGTTGTTTTAATAGTTGGTAAACCAAATACAAGTACATACAAAAATTATATATGTACTGCTTGTTTTTTTTTATTTTTTTTTCTCTTTAAAAAAAATGCAGATAAAATTTTCATTTTCAAGTAATATATATTATTTTGTTAGAAAAAAAAATTAGTGTTCGGGTAAAGTAGAGAATTATTCACTGTGTTTAAAATATCATTTTATTATTTTCATTATTGAAATGTCATAATTTTGTAAAATGAGTGTAAATAAAAAGGATACTCAAAAAAATATTTTGTGACATTTCATAATTTGGTGAAAATTTCATCTATACAAACTTTTATCTAATAGGCTTTGTTTGTTATACAATTTGGTGAAGTAGTAGGGGTTGAATGAATTTATAAACTATAATAAGTAATATATTAATTTATATAATAAAAAAGTGGTTTATAATTTATGGTTGAATTATGTTGAAAAATTGTTT